CTTGTATTAAAGAAGTAAAATTCACACTCGGCGTTCAAGGTATATTACCAGTTACCATTTATGGTACAATAACAAACAGACGGTGTATATTTAAATATTTAACTTAATTAATGTTACTCGACCTTTTAGCAAATTCAATAAATGGGAAGTGGTATACCTGATATGTGCACGACACCTACCGATACTGATCATCACCAGATTATATTTCTCGCCATCCATCGTTACAGGTCTCTGTGGATGGTACCCTTTAAACAATATTATTTATACAGATCATATTTTATATATTTGCCTGAGGCAACTTTACGGTGTTGGTCAGAGTGTACAGCAACGCATACGTTTACATACTCAGCCAAATTAAAAACTTGACACTCGGGATTTTTGGGACTAGATTTTTAATATTTGGTTTAAGGCAACTATTTTAGTGTTATGTTGTGCACAGACGACCTTGACATCAACAGAAAGCAAGAATACGTCTCGCCGAAAGTCCTTCACATTGATAACGTTCGTGATGTCACAGTACCCCCCAAAATGAAATTCACAGACTTGGAGAACAATCGGCCCAGTTCGTCCCAGATGTTTTCAATAGGATTAAGGTCGGGGCTAAGCGATGGCCAATCCAGGATTCCGACACCGGCATTTCTTAAAAAATTCTGGGTAGCAATTGCTGTATGTGGTCCAGCATTGTCTTGTTGAAATGTTAGTCCAGGCCCATGTCTCTGCATAAACGGAAGAAGAACAGGTTGCAAAATCTGATCCCTGTACTGGACAGCATTTAAGTTCCCTTGGACAACAACAATAGGAGAACGTCCATGTGCACAAAAAGAACCCCAAACCATGACGCTGCCGCCACCAAATCGGTCAACTTCTCTGACGCATACTTGAGCGTAACGTTCACCTCGTCTGCGGTACACTCGGGCCCTGCCATCAGCAAATCTCAAAGTGAATCGAGATTCGTCACCAAAGACAACCGAATTCCACTGTCTTTGAGTAAATCTTATGTGTGGCCCACACAAGTCGGTTATGGCGATGAAGAGGTATCAATATTGGTCCATTATAGGGCGTCCGAGCTCGAAGACCAGCAGTCTGCAAGCGATTTCGAACAGTTTGTGCAGTTACCCTTCCACCGAACATCTCTCTACTTGTGGAGGTTGCAGTGACAAATCTGTTTCTAAGATGACGTAATCGTATTGCTTGATCTTCCTGGAGTGACGTCACACGTGGCGCCCCCGCCCTTGGGCGGTCGGCAATAGTTCCAGTTTGAAGCACTCTCATTCTAAGATTAATTATTGTCTGGCGTGAACAATTAAAGGCTCTTGCAACAGTGACCACAGACTTAACAGCATAGAGCCTACCTATAGCACGTAGACGTTCTACATTTGAAAGGCGCGGCATTTTCTAACAAAGATGAAAATAACAATTTTAATTTGGTTTTCAAGTTCAAGTTACGTGTGCGTGTTTAGTTTAAGCAAACTTGCATCGATTGACCTCACGAGTTTGTGTTTGCACGTGTTTTTCAGGTTTTTCATCTTTATATGCTCAAAAGTCACGTGATCCACGTGACTTTACAATTTTATGAAATTAAAGGCTTCTTACTACTTACTATCGTTAGAAACACTTTAAAATTTATTTGACTTACTAGAAAAAAAATTTTGTTGAAATTCATCAGTGTCAAGTTTTTAATTTGGCTGAGTATAATATGGCGAAGCGACTGTATCGTGTTTGTAAAGATATTTCATCATTGTTTTTGTCCTTCGATTCACTTCTTTAGTTCAGTACATTTATGGCTTCGGTAAGACGATTACCCACTTTGGTTGGTTCACTGTCATTTTTATACGCCCACATTGAAATGTGGACGTATATTGCCGAAGCCTCCGTCAGTCGGTCCGTCCGTCGTACACAATTTCTTGTGAACGCTCTAACGCCAAAAGTTATCATCCAATTGTTTTAAAATTAAATTGATATATGTTGTTTACATGAGTGAGATGAAGAAGCCTATTGAATTTCAATAATTTCCGTTTATTACGTCTAGAGTTATGGCCCTTGTTTCACTTTGTTGAACCTTGTGAACGCTCTAATGCCAAAAGTTAACATACGATCTTTGTGAAATTTATATGCAATATTTAAGTTAGTTAAACGAAGAAGCCTATTGAATTTCAACAATTTCTGTTTATTACGTCTAGAGTTATGGCCCTTGTTTCACTTTATTGAACCTTGTGAACGCTCTAACTCCAAAAGTTATCATCCGATCTTTCTGAGATTTACATGCATTATTTAAATTAGTGAAACGAAGAATCCTATTGAATTTCAGCAATTTCCGTTTATTACGTCTAGAGTTATGGTCCTTGTTTCACTTTATTGAACCTTGTGAACGCTCTAACGCCAAAAGTTATCATCCGATCTTTCTGAAATTTATATGCATTATTTAGATTACTGAAACGAAGAAGCCTATTGAATTTCGACAATTTCCGTTTATTACGTCTAGAGTTATGGCCCTTTATTGATCCTTGTGAAGGCTCTCACGTCAAAAGTTATCATCCGATCTTTCTGAAATTTATATGCATTATTTAGATTGCTGAAACGAAGAATCCTATTGAATTCCAGCAATTCCCGTTTATTACGTCTAGAGTTATGGTCCTTGTTTCACTTTATTGATCCTTGTGAACGCTCTAACGTCAAAAGTTATCATCCAATCTTTCTGAAATTTATATGCATTATTTAGGTTACTGAAACGAAGAAGCCGATTGAATTTCAACAATTTCCGTTTATTATGTCTAGAGTTATGGCCCTTGTTACACTTAATTGATCCTTGTGAACGCTCTAACATCAAAAGTTATCATTCGATCTTTCTGAAAATTATATGCATTATTTAAACTAGTGAGGCAAAGAATCCTATTGAATTTCAGCAATTTCCGTTTATTACGTCTAGAGTTATGGCCCTTGTTTCACTTTATTGAACCTTGTGAACGCTATAACTCCAAAAGTTATCATCCGATCTTTCTGAAATTTACATGCATTATTTAAATAGGTGAATCAAAGAAGCCTATTGAATTGCAGCAATTTCCGTTATGTCTAGAGTTATGGCCCTTGTTTCACTTTATTGAACCTTGTGAACGCTCCTACGCCAAAAGTTATCATTCGATCTTTGTGAAATTTATATGCATTATTTAGATTAGTGAAATGGAGAAGCCTATTGAATTTCAGCAATTTACAATAATTACTTCTAGAGTTATTGCCCTTGTTTCACTTTGTTAAACCTTGTTAATGCTCGATTGATGATAGTTATCATCCGATATGTATGAAATTTATATGCATCATTTAAATTTGTGAAACACGTTTATTGAATTTCAGCAATTTTCGTCAATAATTTCTAGAGTTATGGCGATTGTGAACGTTTGAATGACAAAAGTGATCATGTGATCTGTATGAAATTTCTATGCATTATTTAAATTAGTAAAACGAAAAAGTAGATTACTTCCAGAGTTTGTAGAACCTTGTAAACCCTCAAACGACAAAATTTATAATCTGATCTGTATGGAACTGTCTTGTAAAGGCCCCCAATTACCTACAAAGGAATAAATATGCGAGAACCCTTGACGACCGCTAGGACGATTTAGCTGCTGTGGGCGTATGTTTTGTTGCCTGGCAACCTATCTTTTGAAATCGCTGGAATCAGACGAAAAGTATTAAGCAGGCCTAGCACCTGACAAGCTGTAACTGTAAGCTATGCGATCGTGGTGGCGTTGCGTTAAAAGCGAGGCGTGGCGGGAGCCAGTATAACAATGACGTAATTTGAGTTTAGGGGTCAAAATCAAACTAAAACCTTATTTACAAGAAAATAAATCCCAGAAAGGGGAAGACGAAACTAGATGTCCGTCTATAATCAAACAATCAATGACAGTAGATCAGTGACATATCGTCTTTTTGGAAGTCCGTGTGTAGCACTATCGCCGTTGCGACATTGTTTTTAAATTTATAGACAAGGAATAGAGAAATAAGATGGGTTAAACAACATTTTTGATCTTTACAAATTATTCCCTATTGTCAGTATATTAGATATGGTATGAGTTTATTTAAAATTAATTGTTTATGTAATAGCGTGAGAATAACAGGAAAGAGGGTCTGAGTTCAAGGATAGATTGTGTCGAAAAACGTGACAGAAAATTACGATTGCATCATTTAGCTTGTTTGACCAATCTCTATACTTATTTACATGATATTTGACCAATTAGATAATTGAACGTCCAAAACCCATAGCTACAAAACTATCATAAGTTAGACTTCTATTAGATTCCAGAGAGGTTCCATCTGAGTTCCTAGTCAGCGAGGCTGACTAGGGTGGAGAAATGGTTTTAGCTAGTATTGTTATTTATAATGCTTGTATGCATGTATTCGGCTATGCTATATAACATGTAGAAGCGAACTGTTGCATTGTTATTCCTGGTAAACGTCTTAAGAAAACGGTAAGAAGCAAACACACAACGTGAAGCAGAAGTAAAGACAGTTAGAGACAAATTCTAGACGATCACAAGGCTACAGAAATATGTAGTAAGAAAAGATGCATGGGTCGTATGTAGGATGTGGCGACCGGTTTCAACGCCCGCTCTCCACGTCTGACAAAAGACCTATGGTGCTACACGTGAGCAGGATAGTACCACCAAGATGTACAGAGACCCCGCATGACAAGACCGTCTACACCAATATCAATGGTGAATCCACTACACGAAAACAAGTTCTGAGTTTATTTATAATTTCAATGAGTCGTGTATGGAGCACAACATAGGGTTTTCTGAACGGCAACATATCTCTTAAATAAGTCGTATATACACCACTTAATAACTTGTCTATAGTCCAGGGCGGAACCAGGAATTTTTGCAGGAGGGGGTTTGCCAGGTTCCTGAGACAATGTATCTATCCCCCCCCCCTTCCGCATGGTCTCTATGGTCATTTTGGCGTATATACATACACATTGAGCTTTTTAAACAGAGAAATTCAACACCTCGTTTGGTGTCAATTTTTATTATGAATTAATACAATGACTTTGTCATTCAATTTCATGGATGCAAAGCATTAATTGTGATATCACATAATGTCTATATCATTACCTCGTGCTTTGAGTGCCCATCCTGTCCCACATCTGACGATAAAGGATAAAGCACACGGCCGAGAAACGTTTCTCATAAAAAGTACTGATTTACAAAAAAAATTATGTAGCTGACCAGGGAACCCCCCTCTGGATCCGCCCCTGTGGTCGTTTATTTAATCATAACAAAATGTAATCGTTTATTATTATCTGTACATGGTACCAGACGAAGTACAGATTGTTGATAATCTGAGTCTGGTTCCAAACATTTACCACTAGCAGGATGATACAGCTGACTTGTAGTATTCTGAAATTATAAAAGGTATACAGTTATTTCCCTTGTATCAGATGATACTGTGGACTATTACATTCTTATTTCGAATTCTGTTAAGGGCAAGGTAAGGTGACACCATTTTGTCAAAGCACCTGAAAAGATGAAAAATTTATTTCAAAAACCAGAACAGTGGCCCTTGGATACAAAAGTCTAAAATAAAAAACATTACTCAAAGAAGATTTCTTTACTACCACTGACCCTTTAAACTGATCTTGTGATCACTGAGGCGTAAATTTATGGTGAAAATATCGCAAAATCATAAAATGTCCAACAAACGCGGTTACACCTACAAGAATTATTTGAACTTTCTGACGTTACTTATCACATTCAACTATTGTCCCATGGTGTGTACAACAACCGTCGAGACTAGCTTTTTCAATTAACCTCTCTCTATTAATGTAATACGTATTTCAATCCGTCGGTACATACTCGCATGTGCTTTTTTTAGCCATTTTGTTATTTCGTCTCGCCCTTCTTCTTCAGTGACCCTCTGTTGACATATCACTGAAGCACGAAAAATCGCCAGGTTGATCGAACCTACTGACGGAATACAAGTCGAGGGAAATCAATTATTTACATTCCTATATATTTTTAAAAACCCTAACCGTTGCAGTTTCTTTCTGATCACCCATTGTATACAATCGTAGTTCCGAACACAGCTCAAACGACCTTCACCCTTTACAGGCATTACTCCGCGTTCAATGAGGTTTTAGCTCAAGTTTATAATTTGCTGTAATAAGTGTAATATTATGTGGCATACTATTTGACACATATCAGTAAGAATATGTTGCTTTTATTACAATTTGTTGGTGAAGTGTAACTTATGGAATTTTAATTGGCTTTGCCGGACTATTGCCATTCGATGCAGAGCTTCTAGATGGTGTCATTCGGCCTCCAAATGTCAACAATTAAGAAATTTGGTAAAAACTTTATTTCGTGAATATTTTGAGAGAAATGTTTTGTAAGGAGAAAATTTGAAAGGTACTGTGGCATTATGTAGTATCGATGTCATTTGTGATCGGATAGCCGATCTCTGGAGATGTGTTTTTTTTTAGAAAGATGGGACGAACTGTCAAAAAAGTTGGTACATGTGGTTTCGTCAAGTGATCACAAATTCGTTGAATAAATTTTATTTTCATGTTGGTAAGTACACACTGCATTCTTGCATTGCAACTTAATTATGTCGTGGTGGTATCAATTTGGAAAAAAAATAGTTTTTAATTGCTTATACATGCATTATGCAAGAGCAAAATCTGCTTATTAAAAGTCTTTCTTTAGGCCTGAAATGTTATCTAAATTATCAATTAGACATTAAATTAATGATTAATTAACGTATCCGGACCATAATAAACTCTCGATGCCAAGGCTAGCCTTCGATGTTGGCTGGATTAGATTCCTATATGCCGCTAACGGCTATTGATAATTAAATCAAGAAAAGTGGATAATCGAGACTATGCTGTTTATATTAATGATTTTAGTAATGATGACCGAGACTATGCAAAAATTTCACCCGCTTCTTTCTCGGCTCATAGTTGATCAATTTGACTGAAATTTTTAGCAAATTACCTTTACACTATCTAGTTTTTAACTATTATAGCGAGAACTGCCATCTCTTTATCTTATCTCCCATAATGTATCTTTATCCTGTATTTTGTTTGGGACTACGGAACGCCACAGGTAGCACATGCCAAAGACCACACAGTCTTCAATTTATTTGCCTAATCATTTGGGCTTTTTGAAATTAAAACTTTGCCAAAATGCATTATTATCAACTTGAAAATTATTGTTGGATATTTTCAATTTCTTCTAGTGATAAATTTTATGGGTTTATATATAAGTTAAAAATTATCAAGTTTTAGCCTAGGCCTATATTATTAAATTATTTTTTGTGTCTTACTGGTTACTTTATTTAATACATGGTTTGTTGGGTTTTTCATTTTTAAAATTATTATATAATATTTATACTATTATAATTATGTGTCGTTTATTTAGGATTTGTTTCATATAAACTTTTCACTGATATACCTTGTAATTTTTATTCTTATTTTACAGAATTGGACAAGATAATCTACGCAGATTATGGTGGCCGTGTTGCTTTAAAGTTAAAGGAGGTAAATCGTTTCCGTTTTTACCCAAATTTCAATTCAATTATGTTCAGCGAAATATGTCAGTAGTCTCAATTGATTGACAATCTCTAGCGTCTGGTTATTCCAGTCAACAATAATAGTATTTATTGTGCATACTCTCCAGATAAGAATATGGCATCACCGCTTAATATGACCCGTGGAATATGTCTAGCCTCGTTCTTCGAGTACCTTATTACAAACGGTCCTGAAACGCATTATGGTACACGATACGTGTACCAATGGTAAAATGATTATTTTGTCAGAAGCCCATCTTTTCGCGGTAAGATCAACATCAATGTTGATTTAAACTGACAAATAATTTGTATTTTCAAGGTGGAAGACTTTTGATGATATTGAGTTAGAGTCTTGTGTAATTTGACAGATAAACAAGGAAAACTATGATTTCTATGGAATTTAAAGCAGCATTAAAAATTATGTGGCATTTATGATAAAAATTTTTTTAAAATGGTACGTATTGTCAATTTATACGAAAAAAACCTAAAAAACATTAAACATTCCAAGTCAAATAAAATATGTGAATACATGTATGTGTGGATTTAAAATCCTCCAAACTGATGGCTTATGTATCTACAATTGTAGCTGTCTTTTTTTAAATCTAGCATACCAAAAGCAACCATTAAATACATGCCAATTAAAAACATTTCCTATCTAGACAGTTAAGTTACACTTTTGCAAAGTGATGAGTGTTGTGCATGGGCAGGGTATACCCAAAATATCACTATTAATATTACACAAAGCCTGTTGGCAAGTTTACAAATCTATGTAGGCCTTCTAAAAGACAGAAACATTGTATATCTGTGAATGGATGTGATTCATGTATGTCAGCATCTAATTAACGAGAACATCTGATATCACTTCCCATTGGAAAGTTTGCAAATAATGCTGAATGTTTTACACATGTACATGTATATTGAGAATTTGTATATGTGCTGGATTTAGAAAATGAATTGAAAAATACACCTTTACATTATTTATTTTTCAGAAATATAGGCCAGGAACTGAAATGTGATTTAGGATTTGGTGACTTTAATATAATAACAGGTGGGTATAACAAATTGTAAATAATGTGGATTATTCCATTTGATGTACATACATTAGCTGAATGCTTTTTAAGTAAATTGGGTGGCCGAAAGGTTAACGCGTGCACATTTGATCACAAGGTTCGTCATTGAGTCCAGTGGCTGGTTTCAGTTGTCCACTTGTATGTGACAGGCAGTAGGGTCGCCTCATGGGTTTTCTCCAGGTCCTCCCTCTGCTAAAGACCCCTACACACTAGCGTATTATTGAAATAAATTTGAACCATGTGTTAGTCCCGAAATGACCTAGTTTGTGTCCAGAAGACATTAAACCTGTCTCTCTCCCTTTCACACAAATAATACATTCATCATTATGGTATAACCATATACGTGTAATAAGCCTTAGCAGACATACATACATTGTATTCAAGTCATGAAAAATCCCTGCAAAAAGGCTGCTATTATTGTAATTAGATGTCATATCCGGAATATGAAGGCTATTTGTACAATGTGTACCTCATATCATTGGGGCAATATTGCTGGCCACTAGTGGTACACCATACATCTGCAGTGAAAGTAGTGCATGAAACAAAATGGCCTTTTGTTTACAAAATATTTGAAAACTTTGAGGTACTATAACTAAGTTTTGATATTTTTTTTTCAGATTTCAAGTCTTGATGGTTGGAGTTTGATTATCTGAGCAACTTTTAGCCAGTTTAATTTTCCTGTGTTCTTTTTTATAAAGCTTGTAGCTGCGCAGTCCTGACTTAGGAATTTGCTTCATTATTTGGTAAATATTTTATTTCAAAGTCATTATTTTGGATTTCCATCCATTTTTTATTGTTCTGTATCATCTCAGGCACATGTAGATACCAACATATTTGCATTAAAGCTGGTGTAAATCCCTTTTTGAGAACCCCCCATTTCAGGTGTTGTGACAAAATGGTGTCACTTTACCTTGCCCTATGGGTTGGCTTACGTGCTGGCTAATGTGTGTAAGGGACCTCGGTTTTTAATCCTATCCGAACGATTAGACAATGTCCTAGGCAGGCCCCAGAAAAGGGACATGTTCAAAATATCTGAATCACAATGATATATGAAATCTCCAAAACAAACTTACCTGTAGTCGCCATATAAAGGTTTGAGTAGATCTAAAGTCACATGATCGGATCTGTGACGTAGTAATATCTGTGGTACTATGTAAACATTTTCTGTGTAAATTTGATGGTCTGAAACTATGATGATCTGTTTCACGCCACGTCTGAAATAAATATCACAATTTGTTTTGATAATATCAAACATAAGAAAAGGTGGTGGGTTTTTTTTTTTGGGGGGGGGGGGAAGAACATAGGCTTGTTTGCGATATCACCTCGGTGGAAACTGGGGATAAAAAATCCATTTCACACACAGAGAACGTATTCATTAACGTCCCGTCAACACAATATGAGAATAAGTGTGCAACTAACACAGGGTATGTTTTTTTCTATTGTAAAGTGCGCAATGCTACAATGGAGAATTTTGTCCAAAGGGCGACTTGCCTACTACTCTTCAAATTCCAACCTTGAATAGGGATACTAAAATAGCATTAGACTACTAAAATACAATTGATATACTAAATCTTTTCCAAGATAGAGATACTAAAATATAATCTTTTCTAAGACAGAAATAATAAAATGTAATCTTTTCGAAGAAAAATATAATCGTTTCTTAGGTAGTTATACTAAAAGGGATACTAAAATATAACCTTTTCGATGAAAGGGGTACTAAAATATATTTTTATCTAAGATAGAGATACTAAAATATAACCGCTGCAAAGGACATAGTCTTATATTATATTTTCAAAGATTGGGATAATAAAATATAAGTTACATACCTACTGTTAATAATCATTACGAAAGTTACATAAAGATCATTGCGAAAGTTACATAAAGATCATTGCGAAAGTTACATAAATGATGTGAAATAGCTTTTTAATGAAATAAGGAAGAGATGGGGATTCAGAATATGGTGTATTTACCGGTGGTTGCTGTATATCACATGGTATTAAAATAACTGTAACTTCTGTTTCATCAACTTTATACCATAAACACAGTCCAGATGATATATGTAATATCTACACAATAAAATATAAACAACATTAAAGTCTCGATGCGTCATTTTAAGAAATAGGAATCATTTGAAAACTACAATAATACCAATCTATAAATGGTTCAATTCTGTTCAGTATTTACAAACTTATGTTGAATTGAATTTTCATCGATCTCTAATGTTCCTTATGAAATACGCACGCCACCATTTTGTTGTGGGAGAACAGAAATGGTAGACCTTTTTAAAAATTCGATTAAATCTAAGCTTGGAGGTTATCTAGCGTCGGTATTTTGATTATAACTTCTTAATTAAATGTTAAATTATCAATCTGAGTACATATTGGCGTGGATTAAGCCGTGAGAAATTTGATAATGATATTTCTCCAAAAGGTTCACCGAAACTTCAAAAGAGCTATAACTAATTCCAATAAATACCAACCTTGCCAACTCTTGTAATGGAAAATCTGTTGTGACGTAAAAGACTATCATCAATTCTCTTTACCCGCTGAGCTTCCAGAGAATCATAATTGGGATCGGTTAGTAACAACTGCCAAAGAATAATTTCTCAAGTTATGTAAAGTCAACAAAATTTGCAAATAAACGAAGTACAGTTATGAAATTTATAACCCATGAGGCGAACTGACACACTATCGCCACCAAGAAACGCCATTAAGGAGACGACCATTGGGTCTTTCTTAGTCTCTATCACTCAGAAAAATATTCTACGAATATTATTCTGGATGCGTTGTCAACATTTGGGAATAATAGGTCATCGGCTAGATTATCCTGTCTTTTACATTATCATAGACAAGTCTAAGGGAGGTAACTGGTCCTAAAACAAGATGTTTACACCCATGAAATTATTTTAAGAATGACATTTCAAAAATTTCATTTGATTGCATTGACAGTTCAATATACAAAACTCGTTTATTTTTTTTATTGTAAAATTTATCTCTTCATGGGCCATATATATGGTTTTTTGGGGTTTTTTTAAAATTAATCCCATTTCGTTGTCACGATTCATGTTAGTTTATATGGACACAGCTCACCAAATATTTCTACGCCGTCACCCACGAATGTAGGGCGAAAGTTATTTTTAGTCTTTCTCTCCCTTTCCCTTTTTTCCCTTTTTGCATGGCGATTTTTGTTGACTTTTTGGTGTAGAATCGAAGAAAAAGGTTTGAAAACACATTTTCTACCAGGTTTTGGTGAATATTCATGATTTGGAGGCGGAAGGATACAAGAGTTCAGAGGTTGGTTAGGTTGAAATGTAGGGTCCAAAATTGCATGTTTTTTTGTCTCTACTTCCAGCTTGTGTATCTCAAGTTTTCCATGGTGAACCTCATACGTGCTTTTGGGCAAGAGGTTGATACATGTTGCTCCATCTGTGGTAGAAAGTGTTCTACCCAACGAAAATTTGGGGAAAAGTTATAGCCAGTCTAAGAGACAAGAATTAACATTAAAGTCAATGGGCAAATATTTAGTAATCTGTGGCCTGTCTATGTATGCTGAGACTGATATGCCTTAGTTTTGAAAATATGAAGATCAAACTCTCAGAAAATATGAATAAAATATTTTGACTACTGAAAAACTAAAAAAAGTTAAATTTAAAAAAAAAAAAAATCAAAATTTGAAGAAAAATGGTGATTTTACTGCAAATTTCTCAATTTTCAGTTTTTATTTAATTTCTAATAGTAAGAAAAATATTTTATTGCCCAATTTTGGCTTATTCAACCTCAGAAAGCACAGATACAGTGAACAGTACTGTAATTTCACCAAATTTTGTCTAAAAATCAGGAATATTCACAGAAAATCTTTGGATTCCCTCCATTTCAATGTAGAAATTAATCTTTTCATGACTACTCAAATGAGTCAAAATGTCTAAAATGCCCTGATTTTCATTGCTAATATAACTTAGATGGGATCTACAAGTTTATCAGGTTTAGAAATAGCCCCAGCTTTCCTACAGAAAATTGAAAATTGGTAAAACTGAGTTAATAATGTACAGCAGATGGGTTTGTACAAAATGTTCAAAACAGGGGTTGGCTCAATTTTGCTACTGTTTTACCCAGAACAAGCATTTTTTTCTTCTTTGTAACATTAAATTCTTGTATTTCCTTCACATAGAAAGCAATTTTCCAGTCTTTCTAGCCATTTTTAACTCCGCCATTTCCTTAGGAGAGGCTATAAATGCCCCACCCCACCCTTTTTTATTAATGTGATTTGAGAGATTTAATTGCACCTGTGTTGACAATTAAATGATAGTAATTGGAATTTGTGGTTGAATTACAGTTAGGAATGTTATTTTTCACTAATAAATAGCTATTTTGTACATTTCAAAGATTTCTAAGCCTTTTTGTTTAAAGTCAAACTTAGAACCCAGAGACACGACAGGCCAATGACACCACACCCTAATATAAAAATGGTGTAGATGTGTAAATTTCAGCTTAATTTTCAATATTTTCTTATCAAAGTCTAGGATGTGTGGTGTTTTTTGCATTTATGTTACTTATAGAACAGTGAAATGTTAATATTGCTCCTTTTCAGGCCTCCTTCATCTTGTCAACTCTGTCATAACTACTTTTTGGACTTCATTTTTTCAGGCAATTGATGTAAAGGTCCAGACATCTTGCTTCAGCACAAGAATTGCAATAAAGATTTGTATGATGCCTCTGAGCCTTGAGATGTTGAAAACATTGAAATTTTCCCAAATTTGTGAAAATTGTGCATTCTGTGATCCTTTTGTTAGAGAGGGGTGGTCATAGACCAAATATGGCATTTTTTTCTTTCATCAAGGCCTATTTTTAACCATAATTCATATTTATTGCACATATTTTAGTTTATATGTACATATGTTAGCCAGGGATGGTAAAACATAGCTATTAGACAGATTGCTTTGATGATGTTACTTCTGCAACCAAAGATTAAATTCATTCAGTCAGTGACATATTTAGGGGGTGGGGATACATGTTTCAGTATAGATCTCTAATATTACAATCAATGCAGCTGATTTGTGATTTTTCTGTTTGTATATTGGCCAGGGTTTCTTAAGATATATATATCCCTTTTCGGTCTGGCTATCTAAAAAGAGGAAAATAATTGTTTTTATTTTTAAAGATGCTACATGTAAATTTTGTACATTTTTCATGACATGGCAGTAAAAAATTATATTTTTGAAAAAAAAATCCAGCTTATGAGTGTTTTCTGTGTAATTTGTTTGTAACTTGTCTAATTTTTTCACAGAACTCAAATAAGAAAGATTTTTAAATTTTAGCACAAAAGGCCCATGGACCTGAGATGCACTACTGTACATAAAACAGCACGTATACTTAAAGGCCCATCATTTTTATACGCCCACATTTTCATGTGGACGTATTATGCCGTCGCCCCTGTCCGTCCGTCCGTCCGTCCACAATTGTTTGTGGACTCTCTACAGCTCACAATTCTTATCCGATTTCGACGAAACCTGAAATATAGGTTTATCCCCAAAGGATCTCGGCTGCTTTCGATATTGGCATGTATCGGATCGAAACTTCATGGATTATGGCCCCTGTATTTGTACGAAAAATCACGTTTTTAGCTTGTGGACCCTATAGAGGTCACAATTTTTATACGATTTTGTTGAAACTTGAAATGTAAGTTTATAATCCAAAGATCTCAGTTCCTTTCGATATTTGCGCATATCGGACAGTAACTTCCTGAATTATGGCCCCTGATTGTACGAAAAATCACGTTTTTAGCTTGTGGACCCTATAGAAGTCGTAATTTTTATCCGATTTACAAAACCGTTCTATTATATCACCGTTACACCCTAAGGATGACTGAGTTCGAATGTCGTGAATATCGGCCCAAAATTGACCGACAAAATGGCCGCCATTCGTTCCCAAATAGCGTAAGAATATGGTATATCAAGGTTGTGGACCCTATAGGGGTGACAATTTTTATCCGATTTTGTTGAAACTTGAAATGTAAGTTTATAACCCAAAGATCTCGGTTCCTTTCGATATTCGTGCATATCGGACCGTAACTTCCTGACTTATGACCCCTGTTTGTACGAAAAATCACGTTTTTAGCTTGTGGCCCCTTTAGAGGTCACAATTTTTATCCGATTTTGTTGAAACTTGAAATGTAAGTTTATAATCCAAAGATCTCAGTTCCTTTCGATATTTGCGCATATCGGACAGTAACTTCCTGAATTATGGCCCCTGATTGTACGAAAAATCACGTTTTTAGCTTGTGGACGCTATAGAAGTCGTAATATTTATCCGATTTAAAAAACCGTTCTATTATATCACCGTTACACCCTAAGGATGACTGAGTTTGAATTTCATGAAAATCGGCCCAAAATTGACAGACAAAATGGCCGCCGTTCATTCTCAAATAGCTTAAAAATATGGTATATCAAGGTTGTGGGCCCTATAGAGGTCATAATTTTTATCCGATTTTGTTGAACCTTAAAATATAAGTTTATAACCCAAAGATCTCGGTTCCTTTCAATATTTGCCCATATCGGACCGTAACTTCCTGAATTATGGCCCCTGATTGTACGAAAAATCATGTTTTCAGCTTGTGGACCCATTAGAGGTCATAATTTTTATCCGATTTAAAAAACCGTATTATTATATTACCGTTCCACCCTAAGGACAGTTGAGTTTGAATTTTGTGAAAATCGCCCTAAAATTGACAGACAAAATGGCCGCCGTTTGTTCTCAAATAGCGTAAAAATATGGTATATCAAGGTTGTGGACCCTATAGAGGTCACAATTTTTATCCGATTTTGTTGAAACTTGAAATGTAAGTTTATAACACAAAGATCTCAGTTCCTTTCGATATATGCGCATATCGAATTGTAATTTCCTGAATTATGGCCCTTGATTGTAGGAAAAATCACTTTCTTGTTAGCTTGTTCTCTATCCATCTCTCGAAAATGTGGGCGTATCCTGCCTGGCAGCCGCTGGTTGCAGTTATTCTTTGATTTTGATTTCCTTTCACCGGTATGTTACCAGAACATATGGGAAGCATATAAAAAAGACTTTTTGGTGATACCCAAAGTTTCACCCCTATATAGGACACAGCTCACCAAATATTTCTACGCCGTCACCCACGAATGTAGGGCTAAAGTTATTTTTAGTCTTTCTCTCCCTTTCCCTTTTTTCCTCTTTTTGCAAGAGTTGAGAGGTTGGTTAGGTTGGAATGTAGGGTTCAAAATTGCATGTTTTCTTGTATCTACTTCCAACTTGTGTATCTCAAGTTTTCCATGGTGAACCTCATACGTGCTTTTCGGCAAGAGGTTGCCACATTGCTCCATCTGTGGTAGAAAGCGTTCTACCCAACGAAAATTTGGGAAAAAGTTAACATTAAAGTCAATGGGCAAATATTTAGTGATCTGTGGCCATATTGATACAATAATTGTGGGAAGGGGCCCAACTCTTACGTGACTTGGCCAAAGATACTGGATAATCAACCACATTAAAAGCAAAGTCCCGGTTACGCATGGGCAATGGACTATGAGGTTCTGGGTGACCGAGACTAGGTCTTTCTTTTAAATTAATGGGGTTTTTTCTTTTATTTTTTTATTTTGAGTGAACTGTACAGTGTAGATGACGCTCAAAACTGGTTCCCGAATCCATTCACTTGATTTGATATTTGTTGTGTATTGTTTGCAATGCAGTTTGTGCCTTGTCTGTAAGTTTGTCGTTTTGTTTGCAAAAGTTCTCTTGCACTTAATAATATAAAGATGAGTATGTGCGCTTCACAAAGATATATTTCAGAACAACACAATATTGCATTTACATGATAAAACGGGATAACAAATAGCATAAAATTTGATAAAAAAAATCTAAATTATAAAATGATATTCAATTTGAATTAGTAATTTATTCCATAACAACGATGCTAGTACCTAGAATAACCGGTTATCATAATATGATGTTACATTACAAGAGCGATGTTTAAGCAATGATTTGTCAGTAGAGGATCGCAGATTTCTTGTGGATTTATAGAAACTTTTACGTGTACGCTAATGTGTACACACGACCTCAGGTTTTCGTCCCACCCGAACGACCCGACAGCTGTCCTTGTCAGGTCTTCCGTTCTACACCACTGACAAGGGGAAACCACGCCGGAAAGTCCAGATGAACATTCTCGGAAAACACCGGGAGCAAACCCGCGACCTCCAGGCTAGCGAGCCTGTGTCTTACTCACTTAGTCACCGTAGCTCCGTTTTGTTTGCGTTGATGTCTTCTAAGTTTCTCTTTGTTTACAATTTTAGTTTTGTTCTGTCAATAAAAATATTACCCTAAATTATTTGATACAGCAGCACATCCAAACTGTCGTAGTGGGTGGAGTCTTTTATGTGAATTACAACTACCTCTAGTTTGTAGCACATGGCCGAAAGGTAACAGCGAGCTTTACATCCGAGAATATTAAACAATATGACCTACCTGTTCAGGATAAACATTATCTAAATACCATTTAAAACTTTTACATCCTAATCTTTCTTTTAAAGCCAGACGATCTGATATATCACCATATAAAATACCTTGAGCCTCAGGGTTCAACATGTAAAAATATTTCTGAAAAAAAGTCAGATATTTATTATTTTAAGTAGCGAGATCTATTCGGTGTGTACAAAATATAAATCATCGATTTGTGTGGATTTTTTGTATGTTGAATTATTTTATAGAATGGCATTCTATCTTGGTTGAAAATGTCTATAGATAAATCCATTGCTGGGATACATAACCCATTTTATGTTTAACTAAAGACACAGGAGGTCAAATTTTCAATTAAATTTAGTAAACAAGCTGACTTCGGTTTATTCTTTGAAACAAAAATGTATTTGTCCACAATTTGGCCTAATAAAAAAACCCACATAGATCAAGCCAATTTTGATCTAAATCAAGCCATAGTTTAGTTTGTCTCGGACCATGTTGCCTCTGTTTTGCTTTAGTAAACCGTAAAAATGAAAATCCATTTTTTACTGGACGGGAGACATCTGTCTGAAATGATATGTTTTACATTTTAAAAATATCCAAAGAAAGATATTGGACCACCGAAACGTTGTATTCATGTATAAAAATCATGCGGGGCTAACTGTCTTACGAAAGATCATTTCAAGGTCACGTGAGCCACAAGTCAAATTTAAGGTCAAAGGGTAATCAGTCTTAAAAACAATACAGATTATTTACCTTATAATCCTCTAACCAGGTATGAGCTATACGCAGGACATTTTTGGTTAGAATTGAAATTGATTCGTCAGCACCGGGTCTCTTTTTACGATAAATATGTCCTACTCTAGAACACGGCACAATCTCTGCTTGACCACCACACTGCCACACCTACAATTTAAAGTAACAGCATTTATAATGGCTAATAATCATAGAACATATCCATTTCTGTCTCACTCTGTCTCTCTCACAATGTATGTGCACTTAAATAAAAAATCTTTAATTATTTTAATTACAAGACAGAATCTGTATTACCTTAAATGACAGCTCCATATTTTCTCCTCCCCATATGTGAAGTTCAGGGTCATACTCTCCTATCTCTTGAAAATATTCTTTATCTATAGCAAATACTCCCCCAGCCATGGCTGGCGTTCTGAAAATATTTACATGCTTATTAGTTTTGATGAAATTATTATCGTTAGTGTTGTGTAAATATTCGACCTAGCTACACTGTAACAAAAATTTCCGTGAAAAAACGTAAAAAATTCCGGAAACAAAAATTACCAGGAAAATTTTTTCCGTATTTGTTTTTCCTGTAATTTACAGAAATTCCCTCAATTAACATAAATTCCATTTTCAAATACAGAAAAAAAAATCCTGGTAAATTTCGTTTCCTGACCATATACACTGTAACAAAAATTTCCGTGAAAAAACGTAAAAAATTCCGGAAACAAAAATTACCAGGAAAATTTTATCCGTATTTGGTTTTCCTGTAATTTACAGAAATTCCCTCAATTAACATAAATTCCATTTTCAAATACAGAAAAAAAAAATCCCAATAAATTTTGTTTCCTGACGATGAAGGTGATAAAAATTTCATTTAATTAACCATTGACTTTAGACGCGTGCGTGAAATAGCTTTATTTAACGTCCGCTTCCACCGAAGTGATACCGCAGATAATCTTTAAACGTAACCTCTTTTCGCAATTATATAAGAATCGAGAGCAAGGTACCACAAACCGCTACTCGTCAGTGGTTGGATGCTTTCAGATGTAAGTTTGCGGTATTATCAATTCGCAGGTATGTAGACCCTGCCATAGAGACAAACCGACTTACACTGGCCAACCGGTTGTACTATCCGGATTTAAGCGTGCTTGATTACCAGATATTACAACCTTAACACACGCAGGATTACAACATATTTTTACATATCTATGAAAATACTTACAATCTGATTAACGTATAATGAATAACAATAAACATTATAGATCTTATAAATACTGGAAATTAGATATACACGTCAATTAATATACCAAACGTTACAAAATATGATTCTTCATATTATGGTTAATAAATTGAAATGAATACTATAACATGATGATTATTAGGAGTGATTATATATGTATACTATTACTTATCGTTGCACCGTTTATCCCGTAAAATAACAGAATTAAGTCCATTACAGAACGGAATAAAACATTTTATCCCTAAATTTCACGGAACTTCCTTGTCATTCCACCGTATATTACGTAAAATAACAGAATTAAGTCCATTATAGAAGGGAATAAAACATTTTATCCCTAAATTTCACGGAAATTTCCTGTTTAATACTGAATATTCCACAGAAATACATAAAACACGTAATTTGAAGAAATAATTCACACTATTAACACAATTTCTCCAAAAAATCCATCGATTAACAGAAAAAAGGTGTTAAATTACGGAATTCGGCCACATAAAAAATGGATATTTTTTACAGTGTATGACAATATTTACATCAACTTACATTAAATATCAACTTTACCAGGAGATCGTTCTTTATGTTTACCTACTTTGCTTCCAGCCTGTTGGCCAATCAAATAGCTAACCCTTTCTTTAAAGGTGCATTATGTAAGATTTAGACAATAAGCTGACCGTTCTTGCTATTATAATGCATCTTTAATATGTACAACTATAAAATGGAAGTTATTACCGATTATGGTTCTTTATGATGGCAATTAACTTACTTCACAGGATATGACTGCGCAGATTTGTTGTTGAGTATTTTATCGGGTAGCGGGTCCCATTTGAATATCAGACTCCATCTAAATCCACCAATAAATAAAGGAATTGGTTCATATACCAAAGTGTCGGGATTAATTATGTCTATTATTGGTGATGGTACAATACTTCTATTCTCCATTATCCTAGATAATAGTGGCTCTATCCATCCTATATTTACTTCACAGTGACTGTCTAAAAACATCAAAACCTTCAAATAAATAAACAAGAACACACTATCATCATTTATATACTTCTGTCTAAAAACATCAAAACAGTCAAATAATAGAAACACAGCACGGTATTATTTTGCATGGCCATTTTTGTTGATTGTTTGGTCTTGAATGAAAGAAGGGGATTTGAAATAACATTTAGTGCCAGGTTTTGGCAGATATTCATGGTTTCGAGGCGGACGGATAACAGTTGTTTCTCTGCCTGTAGTGGTGACAAGCGTAAATGTGGGGAAAAGTTGGAGTCAGGCAAAGAGAACAGAAATTAATTGTGGTCTGCATCTAAATATAATACATACTTTACCAGTCGCCTCTCTCACACCACGCATACGCGATCTGATCAACCCCTGTCTTTCACTGTTTCGAAATAATCTAACTTTAGAATAAAATGTCTGCTGAAGGTGTGATTCAAGGTTCTGTTGTAAATCATCTGAAAATATAAACACACGTGAAATCTAAATATATAACTAGATGTGTTTTACTCCATTAAACCCAATTTAAAGATAGAGTTATCCTCCCAAGTTATGTTATATGATTATGTAAATCCTCGGTTATAATAACAGTTTATATCCTTACTCGCCCTCAATGTTTTCACATTATGGTCTTGAAGTTGTTCACACAAAAAAATCTACGAAGTTCTGCTTATTTACAGTGTTTGATACCTTCCGTTTATGCCTGCTATGGCTGGGTGTGATACAACATTCAGACTGTTTAGAATTGAAAAAAATGCCCCTTTCAAAAAGAATCACGAACTGCGTTTCCATGGCGTTGCAAAGTATCATGGTTTTCGTGTGCACTCAGGTGCGCCGTGAATAAACCCCCCAAAAAATTTGAAAAGGACAAAGATATAAATACTATATTTGGGACATGCGATAGACTACCAAGACTTTAGAAGAAATGGGACAATTCAGGACTGTACTGTACTGCTCATGTGATAATTTACATTTAAATTTTTCTCAGTTAACGTCTTCCAAGGAGCTCAGTCATTTTTTTGAAGGTGTATGCAAGAACGGGTTTCATTTATAATAATTTCTGACTAGTTATTATGACTCGTAAGGGTCATGTTTCAATCTGTAATAATTTTATACGGTAAAAACTCCGAAGGTAAATTTGGCCGTCATTTTGAATTGATGTAAATTAGACCCTTTCCCAGCCCGATATGTTGTAGAGGGTGATCCCACAAACACAGCGGTACCAATAAACCTTCTGTTGGAGTTTGTTCTAGGTCAACTCTTACTTTGACTAGACTAACTGGGTAGTGCAGCTGTTACCGTGGCCTAGTGTATTAAGATTTTTCTTCAAACACATGTATATAGGATATATATATAACGCAAATCGATTGTTTTATAATGGCTTTACCCCGCACCATCTTTAACGTTCTACTTTACTACAACTGGGCGTATGCTTATTAAGCCTTGTCTTTTTGATCTTCAACTATTAATATTTCTGTTTTATCGACATTGATTTTTAGACAATTGCACTTCCTACGGTGTGAGTTATAAATGTTTCCAGTTTGTCACAACTATCTGATTCTCGTATAGGGATATGGAGTGGGGTGCAATCCGTGGATACTAATGTTGATATCAATTTGTGTGGTATAAGCAGTTAAGACTAGGGGACCCAAAACTGAACTCTATGGTACGCCAGATATATGTTTTAGCCGCAAAGAAGATTGTGTCTTTAAAATATAACCAAATGTTGAATAAAGTCTACAGGATACAGTCTTTAGGTCAACTGTATGGAAAGCAGCACCCAAGTCTAAGAGTATAATATACTAATTTCGTGTCTTAGATATGTTGTTAAGAATAGCACTCGGAAAGCGCAGATACTGTAGGCTACTGTGACTTGTCTTTATTTGTTGAGTGAAATCTTTCTCCATGTGACAATAATTCCATTGTCAATTAGCTGCTACATTGGTACAAATAAGCTCTGTCATCGAATCTTATGTCGTGGTTGTAATTCTGCTGCTGTATTTGACCAGGCTAGATTATCCTGTATAATTTCGTGTATTTTCACATACAATTATAGAAATAGTTTCGGATGATAAACTGTTTAATAACAGAATGTTACCCACCTAGACTGTTGTCATCTGTAAGAGTATTACAACCAGTAAATTGGAAGGTGTTTTATTAATAACAGAATGTTACCTACCTAGCTTACTGTTGTCATCTATAAGAATAATTTCAGCCAATAAATAGGAAGGTGTTTTATTTATAACAGAATGAACGGTTCTTATTAAAGCTGAAAAGGTTTCGTTCATAAAACATATAACTACACTAACAGTTGGCAGCTTATCACCATAGTTACGAGACTTACACCTGAAACATAAACAAAATATATCACCATAGTAACAAATTTTACAATATGTTACATAATCACAGATTATCTGATGTTAAAGACGCTTCCTGCCAACTTGACACCTGTTCGCTATCGACATCCCTGGGCCCGATTCCTAAAAAATTTCTTAAGCACGTTCTTGTGCTTAGATTTAAGTAGACTTTGCATTTAAGTAAACTTACCTTATTTTGTGTTCCCAGAAAATTCTTAAGAACGTTCTTGTGCTAAGATTTTAAGTAGACTTCATTGTAAGCACAAGAACGTTATTATGCGTTCCAAGAAAAAACTTAAGCACAACTTCGTTCTTAAACATAGTCAATCTAAGCACAAGTCCCAAGCAAGGTATACAGCTTGCTTTCCAACCTTAAGTCTGTTTCTGCTTCAAAAAGATGGGTGACCGTAGAGTTTTTCGACGGCATTTCCGACACCTTTTGATACCAAACAGACAATTACAAGACAGAGAAAATCCTTCTCCAGAAGAAATTAAGAATGCTATAGAAAATATAGCTTCTACCCTGAAACCATTTTATCTATTTGCCTATTAGTAAACAATGGGCTACAAACACACAGGCTCCATTAAGATCAGGCGCTCTCACAATTATTCATTTAGTTTGTATGTGTCTGCGTTTTTTTTATCTTGTGGCACATTTTATATGTGTATAGGGGACATGTCAAATGCATCTAAATCAACCATACATTATATATGACGTCACTGAAGCAGACGATAAATTTATGACGTAATTCGCATACCAAAGTTGTTTTTATGACGTTAAAGAGCATCGTAGTCTCAGTTTATGGTAAACTTTGCCAGTCACAATGTGCTTAGACTTATACTTGACTTGTGCTTACGTAAGAATGGTCTTAAGAATTTTCTAGGGACGGTATTTTTATAAGTTTCTTACGTAAGAAAAAGTGAAGCATGACTTTGTGCTTACTTTAAGAATTTTCTAGGAACCGGGCCCTGGAGTTCTTGTTCTATGTGATTATGTAACGATTATGTAAACCTTAACTTGCTGGCATGTTTTATTTAAACTTTCTTTGTCTAATTAGCATGTATCGAATGTTAAACCTGATATGATACATGATACATTAGCCAGATGCCTAATAAGATCCTTTGTTTGGAAGGGCTTATAAACCCAGATAGCAAACGAATCGACAGAGAGGGTCCGGCCAGGACAGGCCACGCAGTTCTTGAGTTAAGACTGGACAACGGCTATGTAATGTGAGTTAGTTGGGTCGAGTTGGCACACTCGTGCCTAGCCGAGCTAGGGCCATGGCTCCCTGAACACGAGCTAATTACGGAGTTTTAAGTTTTGTACATAATATGTTAGAAGAAGAACAAAAAGTATTATAAGATGTTAACCTAGTCTTGTCATCTGAACTTGATTAAAGAATTAATAGTGTAACACATATCATGACAAGTTTTGTATTGAACGAATTTGCATATTTCACCATAGTAACTAAATTTATTTGTATATATGTTAAATATCTAACCATAGCAGCAGGATAAAACAAAAATTGTTTCATGGCGATGGGCTACTGACCATATATGGCTTACCGTTTGTGTCTAGCATCAGGTATACGTCTATTAGGATCTAGTTTATCACTGATATACTGATTATAGTTGTGTTGTTTATACCCGGCTTCATATAACTTTTCATCTTCCGGTGTTATTACTAAACCTTTCTCATATAAACTATATAAATCATCCGCTCTATAACCCGACACTTTACTCACACTTTTATTTAAAATAATTAAACTCGATTCTTCGGGTCTTGTAAAAGTCGTTTGATTGGACATAATTTGAAAAGAGTAACCAATCATAAGCGTCACAGTTATTCCAATTGTTACATGAATCCAAGAGTTATAGGTCTGGCCTTTCCGCTTTTTAACATTTTTACTTGATTTAATCAAACTCCTTAAAGTCTGTCTTCTCATATCCATATTTGTTATCTGTAAAACAAATGAGACAAGTATCTAATACATGTGATTCAATTAGATCTTCATTCTATTCAAATTGCAATAGTTTATTGGTCAACATCCTTTGGTGATTCGGAAGGGACTCTAATGAGTGCCTGTTTAGATGATATAATTTTACTCTTTAATCCTGAAAATGTACGTGTAGAAACCCAGATTGCGATCGAAACTGGTTTTAAAGCGGAGACATTGGTATATATATGTTTTGGCATCGCGGGAATATTGAAGATTTAAGATATAATGCAATGTTTTGAGGAAATTGTGTCTATCCAAATACAAAGCTACAGTAATAGTTAATATCTGTGAAACGGTTGGCCAGAACGTTCACGTCTATCTCAAACCTGGCCCTAAGCGATCTGACTGCTAGTGTGGATTTTTACTGTTATCAAAGCCACAGAGAGAAAAAGAGAGAGAGAGATAGAGAGGGGAGGGGGGAGTTTAACATCCACTCAACACAAACTAACTAACATAGTTTCGGAACTAACATATGCTTCAATTTTATTAGGGGTTAGAGAAACACTAGAGTGACACTACTGCTGGATCCACTTCACTTCTTTAATTTAAAAGCTAAGAGAATATTACAAATTTGGTTAAGGTCAAAACATTGAGTTATTGTTAATTTTTGAGGTCAATAATAAGTAAAATATAAGGTTTTACCTGCTTGTTTCACATAAATCATATAAATATCCACTAATCATGCGCTTAAAGGTAAATAGAACATACTAATTATGGAAAATGACCATGAAATTCAATCTTAGAAATTAATCTATTTCCAAGGTGTAATCTTTTTGCTAACTTTAACTGACACAAACTCTATCGCTACCACTAATTATTTGTTCGGGCCTCACCCATTGTGTAATTTCCGATATTGTTTTCTTTAAAGTAACCAGATTCTATGATGGAACCCTACCTTATCCTGTTTTATCAGCAGAAATTCATACGTCAAATTGTTACAATTATACAGTTATTTCTAATCAACCAGACAACTTACTAACTTTATTGGTCCTTGTCTTACGATAAATAAAACATTGCAAAGTGGTTCGCACCTGCTCTTGTTGTCATCAATCCATTGGCCAAACGAAAAGACAGCTGTTGTGCAGTATATCAATAATATTACCTATTGCTACTTGTGTGAAAATTATAAATCGATGTGTATATCTTATAATATATGACTAATAAGAGAAAATGTGTTGGTTGGTCTTCGTTTCAATGTGCTACGAAAATGGTTAATTGAATGATAATATCTTGTTTTTACATACTATTTTGACCGTTATAACCTATTTCAGATACATACAGCAGTCCTTGGGAATAACATTATTATCTGGAATTGAAACAAAAGGCGGGCCGCAACACATTTCTCCGACATGAGTAGTTTTTGAGTAGGCCATAGCGCCGATGTATGACCATGCCCATCTGTTAAGTTGTTTTTTTTTCTGAAACGGAGAATGACGTATTCTGGTCAAGAGACATCTTTTTAGGTAGCCTTCCCAACACAGCATAAAATTGGTTCTAACAAGTTTTATAATTAACTTCAGTGAATGTTTACCTTAAATCACGATTTCTTCATAGACGAATCACAACGAATGCATTATTTGGAGAAGCTTTTACGTTATCTAACCTGTCAAAAAATAAAGCCACTAGAAAACATAATCCTAAGTTAATGATTCTGAGATACAGTAATATCTTGTGTTCGTTTCGACAACAACTTTAGCAAATTTCGTTTTTTTTTTTTGGTTTTTTTTTTGTGTGTGTGTGTTTTCAAATAATAAAGCCCGGAGAAAAAATAATCTGATGTTACAGTAATATTTATTGTGTTTGTTACGACAACAACTATTAATGCTTTTCAGCGCCATTTGTAACCAGGGACTCGAAGAACGAGGCAGGACAGATTCCATAAGTCACATTCAGGCTAACTTAAGAGCCAAAGAGCCCTGCGTAATGGTTAGAATTTGTTGTTTTCTATTCGTTATATATTGTTAAAATAATAAAGGTTACAATACCCGACATTGTTCCACCACTTTTCAATAACTTCAAAGTTAGTTTATAGTCATAATTTTTTCATGTGTTACAATATTTCGACAAAATTTTTTCTAGCAGTGACAACTAAGATTTTAATATATACTAAGCAGCAAAAGAAACGTCAGGTTGGTATGTTAGTCTGAATAGACGCATTGCATAAAACTTGCCAAATGTTTTTATTGTATATTTGTTACCACGTCTCCAACTTTACCTGAACAATAAGGTTCCTTCTCAAACCCATGAAATGTTCTCAAAAACGCAACCTGACTTCTGAGATGGTAATATGTTTTCCATGATTTTCACGCAACTCTCATTTGAGACAGCACGTCAGAAGTTTTGATGAACTGGAGACGGCATGGCATCATTTTACCATTATGACAATTGAAGCCAAGACATCAAGAATAATATAGTGGAGTTAAAACGGGAATAACGTAATACCTAATTATCCAAGGGGAAATTTGTTTTACACAGTGAAAAGCAACACATATTATATAAATAATAAATTATTAAGTTATAATAAATCTATAAAGTTAAGCCTATAGAATTATCTCAAACAAACACAGTAGCTTATATACAGCAGATTGTATAGATTTATGAAAATTAAATTTGATTTACCTAATGAAAGGCAACACATATGCAGTTATAATAAGTAAAGTTATGACATTAAAAATATCAGCTCAAACCGAGTGGCCTATCCTATACAACAGATTGTACAGATTGGTGAAATTCTCAATATACATAATATATTTCATATCTAATAAAACGAAATGAATGATTGCTATATTAAAATACCGTGTTATTAGAATATTATGTAAGAGAAGTTATATCAGGGGTTTCATTAGAGGCGTACTGGGTGGGTAGTCAGGTCACGCGGTGTTTGCAAAAACAAAAGAAACTGGAAATAGTTGATAACAATCGATGCCGGTGAGATTCCCAGTTAGGGTATAGGGATTGCTGTGGCAATGTGTTCTCCGTTCCGAAAAAGTGCCCTCTCAATGTACGTACATGCACCATTGATCAATCCTTCTTGTTCGTTGGCTTTAGACCTCAGTTGGACAGGAAACCAGTTAACGACCTATTTTATGGCTGGTATCTAATTTCCATTTGTGTGTGCGACGGACAATAACCAGAATATGCCTGTTAACATTTTCAGCCAGGGGACCCATGCGAACTTCCGCTAATTTTCACTGATACAACCGGATTAATATTTCCATAATATTCAAAATGCTTGTTTTTCTTTACTCGTAGGTCGTTTAATTCTTGATTGCTGCTAACTATGTTCTCATCTTCAGGACTTAATCATAATCCCTCAACCAAGTGTCAAGATATGGTATGCCGTGGCTCAGATATCCATCAAATCCATTCTAGCATGTGCCCCCCCCCCCCTCGCCCAAAAGTGCCCTAAATTTGGCCTGTCTATCGTCGGAGGCCTAGGCACGCCTCTGCAGACTTTATTAGATATAATGGAGAATTCTTGCAATTTTTATTTATTAGATATAATGGACGATTCTTGCTCTACGTAAAAGATCCCTTGACAGTTGGAATTCGAGAAAAGGGTAGGCCGTAGTGCCGCTGTCCGGGCAAAATTTCCCTCATAGCCCACTGTATGGCGTATGCCCGTCTTCATTAGCCCAGTTCGGAGCAGAACAGTAGGACGTTAAACCCCATTTCATTTTCTTCAGCAACCGGGGAAATGTTGAAGGACATACGCATAATACAGCAGCTTTATCGTCTACTCTAATTTTAACTGTCAAGGGTTCATTTACGTGCACGCTTACTAGTACACCGGGAACATAGTTCTTCGTCCCATCCTAAAGACTTGACGCTATCCCATGCTCTGTTCCACTGAAACTGGGATGAAACTCGAGGAACTTTCTCTACCGACACTGGGATCAACCAAGAAACTTCTAGACCGGTAACCAGCAACTTAATCACTGAGCTACAGTGACTCCCTCTATCACTGATATTGGCGATTCAGTTTTTCTTCCGTAATTATATATTTCTTGGAGTAGTGCTTCCCGCCACTAAAGATAAAACCCCAAAAGCGTAATTTCTGAATTAGTCTATAGTAAAAGAAGGTGTACTGAATTTTAATCTAATATCTCCCCCCGCCCCTCCCCACCCCGCGAATAAAATCCGGAAAACAGATTTGATATCTATAATGGACCATAATTTATTAAACCACATAAACGGATTTCGACAAAACGTAAACTTGGGCTGTAAATTACTTACTTAATACACAGTCATCCACATATTTTCCATGTCATAAATTTAACAAAAACGTACGTTAAACGTAAAATATATTTATTTAATTATTGCCGAGAGTTGATTTATGAAATATTAAAGCACTTAAAATCGATTGTAATCTAATTTAATTCTTGGGTAACAAGTGATGGTATTGATGTTTATTTAATGCATCATAATGCTTCAATAAAGATGGTAGTTCGAGGCTTGTTAGGATATGTTATACAAGTTTACTTTCCTCCTCTTCCGACTGTAAAAAAAGAAAAGAAAACAAAACGTTCATATTGATTGTAGTGTTTAGTATATTTATATCTAAATTATACAATTATCACAGTTAACGCCTTATATTGGTTTATTGTGATATCTTGCTTGTAGTCATAACCCTATCATGGTTGTAGAGTCATCTACATCGTAACCCTATCATGGTTGCAAATTAATCTAGATTGTTGCCATATCACGACAGGTCGCTTTAATTAAAATAATAATTGTGCTCGATATATTATATTGATATCAATGTATATCAATGTAACTCTATCATGGATAGAACTTTATGCTGGTTATTAGAAAATAAAACAGTTGTCAGCCTTTGCTGGTCATAACGTATCCAATGTCGTATTGTTATAACGTTGCCACTTTTATAACGTTATCTTGTTATATGGTGTTATATGGTATATAACAACCCTTGTTATAGAGGTGATAGATCACCATGGTTACATCGTTATTATCTAAACGTGATTAGCGTGTTATACGAGTACCACAGTTATAACGTTATTACTGTTTTCTTGTTTATAAATTTCTGTTATAACGTTATCTATATCTCTGATAGACTACTACAACCATTACCATTAAGTAAGCTTAATAAGGATATCATAATCATAAAAATTAATATAGCTAATACATATAATAATATATATAAGTAATATTAAAAATTCAATGGGATATTGATGGTGCATTAAAGAGAGTTGTTTCCCTTTAATATCAATGTGCAAAATTCACAGATATATAAGTTTATAAATTCATTTTTAGATCTTTCATGCAAATGTGACAGGCAAAACATTTTGGAAATTTATATTCTAAAGGGTAGACACTTATGAATTATTGTTGGTTATTGAGGGGGCAGGGTTATCTTCACAGGTATTGATATTAACAATGATGTACAGATTTTCTATGTTACACTATATTTCAGCGGATGGAGAGTTGGTCTGAGCTTGCAGTGAACTGGTTAGATTGTAATTAATTAGTTCTTCACTTGTTGGTTTATAACCGGGCACTTCAACCGGGCTTGTTAGTTTACGAGTCGGGCCATTCTTTCCTGGAACAGTACTGTTTTCACGTATGAATATTTTACCGTCTCTGGTCCAGCAGGCAGCAATACGAGTACCACAGTTATAACGTTATTACTGTTTTCTTGTTTATCAATTTCTGTTATAACGTTATCTTTATCTCTGATAGACTACTACAACCATTACCAGAACGTAATATTGTAAATGTAAATTCAACTTACGGTTTGGGTTGGCTTCACAGTAAGTTTCTCCACATGCTGGTACTTTTATAAAATAAAAACAATTTCCTATATAGAAAATGTAATGCGTCATCTATTAGGGCGGGACAATTACCATTTTTGGGTAAGTGTTTCATATAGACACCGTTTAACGTCAACATTATTCTATTTAATTGGACTAATCCGTGCACGAGATGACTGGACGATAGTACCCTACTTTCCAGAAATGGGTACTGACATAAGTGTCTGTGAGTTAGACTAAGATAGTAGCAGAGTAATGTAAGCTACTTCATTACCCTAGTTTTAACATACATACACTTTTCTTAGACCTTAAATAACCCTATAGTGTTATATAATTGACTGTCACTAGATAAGAGAAAACGAACAAAATAGAAAAAGTCTGTGCATTACCATGCTTTTATTAAGTATAGAATGAATAAAATCATACAATGTACCGACTATTTCTATTTTTCTCCTTTTTTCTTATCTAGTGATATTCAATTAAGATGAATTGTGTTGATAAAAGACAAACGCCACATAATGGATTCCAAACTTACAGGTATAGAACCGTTCAATATCATCTTGAGTGCCGAATTTGGTATCACGTCATTAAAGATATGGGTAAAAATCTCTGCGAATAACCGGGACTACTACAACTTAATTTGCTCCTATTAACTGTTTGGGTTATGGGCCCTATCTATGACTTAAACATATTAAGGATCAGTTCAATAGAACAATAGATACCAAGTTCACATATGAAACTTAAAACATGGATGTGAACATCGTTCTGGTATTACGACCCCCGCTTTTTTGGCAAAACGTGAAATATATACAAAGCTTGTGGACCCGCTAGAAGTCACAGTTTTTACCGATTTAGATGAGTTCGATTTTAGTACGTAACAGACCTCCCATTGTTGAGTTATAGCTCCTGCTTTTTATGGAAAATGTGAAATCACTCTACAATTTTTGTCTTAATTCAGATGAAACTTAACAAATATGTTAACAGTTTCGCGCTCAGCTTGTTTGACTTAAAGGTACTATCCTGATTTGAACAGGGTCTAAAAGATAAAAGTCCGAGTACGGATGAAATTTTAGCGCCAAAATATAGAGGAATGGTGTATATACCTTGTCTTCAAATTACATCTCAAAATATTAAGTCGTTTGGACGTGAACGTCAAAACTGCTTATCTGGACACGTAACCCTTTTAAGATTTCGAGTCAATTGTGTCGTTGGTGCCTTGATAATTGATTTCGAGGTCTATACAACGAATGACTCGTGTGCTGTACTTGATAACGAAAGGTAAACTTCACCTATACACGTTATTTTTATAAAATAAAAGTCTTGTTTTGTCCAGCTTAGGACATTGGTCTCCATTTCCAGATAAATACTGACTGGTTTAAGTTGTTTGCAAACGTATCACGTATATTTAGTTAGTTGCTCGGCCCTAAGGTAGACAATTTTAAGGGCTTTTAACACAAAATTAAGCAGTTTTATTCTCCAAAATATAAAACGTATTTCTCTTTTTGGCATTTTAAAATATCTTCATTTGTAAATGTTTCTGTTGGCGTTAAATTTATAACACCCTTCACTTGTAAAATCCGCTGACAGAACAGGTCAGGCCAACTACCGTCGATGAGCAATAGCGCCTAGATATGGAGCGTAACTCTGGACCAAGGAAGATAACTGCATTATATGCCAAGGGATACAGACCACCACTAATTTCACCATTGACTTTATCCCCCACTGTTCTGCACCGACTGTCAAGGGTTCTTTTACGTCACGAAAACTGTGCATCACAAGCACACGCTTAATCTCCAACCGCATCCAAGCGCTACATTTTAGAGGTTTCAATTTCTAGCCAATCCCCCAAATCCTTTTCTTTTTAATTTTATAATGCAAGTTTTATACTTAATGTTGAAAAATGTTGAGACGAAGTATATTTTGAATTTTGCGAAAGTTTGAATCTGTCATTTATATCAATTAAAAACACCGTGACATGAATCAACACGAAACCGCCAGGTTAGCGAGCCAACGTCTTACTCATTGAACCACCGCGGTCCCCATATAAAAATAGTTATGAAAAGAATGGAATTAATTGGGTGTCTCGTAGACTGTGATAAAACTATTGACTAATTCTCCATTCATCTTTTCATTTTAATAATAGTTATAATCCAGTTTAGTGTATAAACTAATTTATGGGACATTCTGTCTAGCATCGATGAGACCAACACTATGAAAAGTAAAATGCCCATATTCCAAGACTTGTGGGCTTTCGATTTTTCTTTTGGTTTGCTCGAAGTTTCAAACGGATCTATATATTATTCTCTTGACACAAACTTTACTGCGCTGTACAGTCCCGGGCCTGTAACAAAACATGCTTCACGCAAAATGAGAAAAAATTTCTTTTCAACTACCGATTAATCTTTTACAAGAATTACCATTTTATACACGACATCTCATTTTCTTGTCCGACGTTATCTACTAGACGCCGTCCATTTCTGCCCCGCAGGAAAGCGTATCTCTTGTCAAACAGTCAACAGATGAAACAATAACACGTGGAAAGGTAATCATTCGGTTCTTCCCAGCCGAAAGCCGCAGAGGCTCAGTGGGTAAGACGTTGGCTCCTTCACCTGGATGTCCCGTGTCCAATCCCCGTGGTTCCCCCTGTCAGTGATGTAGGAAAGATCTAAGAGTAGGACGTAGCGCATCTTCAATAGAAGGCTTGAGCTACGTTCCCGGAAACGTATTTATCGGGTGGTTATTTCCAATAAAAGTATGGCAATTTTGGTATATATGGAAAGTAGAAATATCCAATCTTACTAGAAAAATACTGGATTCCCTGAAAATCACTCATGGAGCGCATATAGGACAAAAATGTACGGGTTTCCCTAATCGACATCCCGACGATTAGGAGTGTCTGCACGCGAGGCGTCGAAGTTTGCACGCGGAGATTGAGCTCTTGATGTACATGTTGATAAACTTTATGAAGAGTTAGATGTACAACACTTTCTGAGATAAAAATCACGGGAAAAGACGCGGGCAGTGGATTATCCGACAATTTAATTAGGCTTCGATATTTGTAATAAATAGTCAGCGATAAAGGCAACATCGTCTTGTGTATGCAATGAATTCTCCTCCGACTTCGCACCCGTTGTGTCACGTGACACAAACATGACCTCTTTTGATTGATTTTTTTTAGCCGGGTATTCCCTGATAATTGCAATGTTTTGAGAAGGATTTGAAGCAAAATTATGATAAATTAATTAGTTTGAATATGTTTTTATTCCGAATATATCATCAAATCACCCAGTTAGTACCCGAGAATTTATCTTTAACTACGTAAATCCTAGGTTTTGTAAAACTCGCGGTCGTTGCCGTAGCGCGGCTGTCCGGGCAAAATTTCCCTTATATAGAAGACTGTATGGCGTATGCCCATCTTCATTAGCCCAGTCGGGCTATCCATACTACTGCGGGTTCTTTGGCATGTCTTTTTAATCCCGAGTCTGAAAAGAAATAAATTAACGAACAATATTATGTGGTTCATTTAGTTGGATTTGGATATCGCATATCTTTACGGTTCATATACGTATTGCATTGCGCCATAATAGGATTTAAGTATTTCTTTTCAAAAGGTCGACCCGTTTATTTAAGTTAATATTTTTTTCTTATCCATTGTTCTATTCACCAGAAATATAATATCGACTGTACTTTAGTATATTTGAAATGGGGTTTAACGTCCTACCAAGACGTAGTGGTTTAATACAATATAAATGGTACAATGGACTATTCGTATTTATATATTATAGGCTTGTCTGTATTCAATAAATGTTGATTTAATTATATATCAATACTTTATTGTGTACCGATTCACCAGAATTGTGCCCTTGACGGGTTTTGTGCATATTCTCTCGCCAGAATATTGACCCTCATGGGTTTTGTATTACATGTATTTGTGATTAAGGGTGATTTACTCTGTTCTGTGTACAGTAGTACGCTACATGTATATTTACTGCTATAAAGTTTTAACAACAAACGTTAGATTAAGCTGTAATACCAGATATGAATACTGTTTGGGCTTCTTGTTAAACTTATTTTGAAGTTGGTGTATTCAAGTGAGGAAGCTTTTCAGCACGCGACGTAGTGTTTATGATGTAGCTGGTTGAGTGTTCCCGATATGTACTGGAAATAAAATTGAAGTAGAAAATATTCGTGTAGCTAACCACACTCGGGTTTCTGGCGTGCGAATTTTGTTGAAATTTCAATTATTGTGACAGTGATATGGAATCTAATCCAGCTGACAATTATCTAACCTGTTTGTGAGTCGATTAGTCGATTCGTCATTGGAAATTAACTGAATATTATACTACAGTATATTATTACATTATATATGCTTCTGTGGCCTCATGATTGAGTGACTGAATTATTATGTGATATTAATTATTAATTTAGAAGGATACGTATGGGAATCAATTATATTCAGGGCTATATGGTTGGTCTCACAATGTAATTAATTTAATGTTCAGGTGAACTATTGTGAAAGCGTGTTATGTATTTCAAAAACATTGCCAGTTGTCGTCAACAAAGATGAAACTATTATTTATATTAAAAAGTGATATCTCGACTAATAGTTTTAAAAACAAGCCCATCAATTTTTTTTAGCAACGATTGGACTGATGATGGTTTTAAAGGCATACCGTTTACTGTAGTCAAATAACTCAGAGACTTTAAGGATAATGATTCTGGCTGTGACGTAATTGAAAGAGATTAACGGATTATCGTTATATTATGACAGTATGATGACTATAGCACGTGACAGGAAATCAATATAGGCCTCTAACGTGTAAAATCGTTATATGGTCGAGTTATTAATAAACAGGATTTGCATTATTTGTGAATATTATTCAAAGTTAAAATGTCCGCAAAAGAACTTCTGGTTATTGCGTCATTGCTGATTATTACTTTGCCGCTGCAAGGTAAGTAAGATATCTGGATATTTCAGGGTGATTGAAGAGATCGGATACCCCCACCCCTACACTAACCCTATCAAAGAATTTTTAAAGATACACGAATTTTCCGTATGGACATGACATTCCCAAAATGGCCCTGATCTACCAAACCGGCAATATCATTCTATCGGTCCTTTTAAATGGATGGCGCTTAACCTATCTTCGGCAATTCATCTGGGTCTGTTTGCAACTGATACAGGGCTGTTGGAAATGAGTGAAAATGTGGCAACGTTTGGGGGTACAGCAAATGGTATTTTTTTTTTTGGGGGGGGGGGGTGTGTGGCTGGAGGTGGGGATAATTCTCAACCTGAACCCCGGGCGTCATCCCAATCGATAGACACAATTTCCTGTTATTGAACTGTGACGTAGATAGCGGGAACAATATGTAAAAGGGGGTCTTATTGCTCAACTCCCAGATTGGACTATATAGGACATTGTTCCTCCCTGTTCCCCACTAGTCTGTGATGCAGGACGGAGGGTCTGGGAAAATAAAGTGTCTATATGGTGGTCTGGGATCTTGTATCTACCATTAACTGCACACTGAACAATTGCTGGTAGTTTGAAATCGAAACAAGAGTAGGCCGTAGCACACGATTTCCCTCAAATACCCCGGTTGGTGCAGAAATCTAAAATGTTGAGCCCCATTTTCATATCCAATTTCTCTCAAGGTCCGCTTTCAAATTCCCTGATTAAACAGTGTATTTTGCTGATCGGTTTTGTACAGAATAATTTAGTCTATGTGTGACGCCCGTAAACAAAATATTGTGTACAATAAAATGTGGGATACTAAATACAGAATAAAAGACTGGGTAAAAATGGCTTATTGAAATTGACGTTTTACAGTAAACATGTTTCTCTATGGGCCTATAAATGAAAGGGAGATATGAATCAATAACAGGTTTGGTCAAAATAAACAACATATTTCATATATAAAACCCTTCAGATTTGGTTGTATGGAATAATATATCCACCAAAATATCAAAGCTGTATTACTTAACTGTCTGTAATAGAACAATTATTGACAATTACTTTAGAGCAATAAACTGTCATATTATATGGAATACTTTTAATCAGATTGGTGTGAAAATGGTGTAAATTGTATATAATAAACATTGCTTTCAAGTGCATACCACTTGTATATTTGGTAATTGTGAATCCGCCCCCAAAAGGTGGCGTAAAACATATTAGAATTTTTGACCGATATTGTAATCCATACAATGAATTTAGGGTGACATGGTGTTAAAAAGTACAGGAATTGTTGTGGGTGTAGAGATGTTTTGTACTTGGTGATATTATCATAAAGAAATAATTTCTAATTGTCCTTCACGAATACAAAGACATATATATCCATGAATAGATAACTCACATTATATGAAATCTGGGAACATTGAACACGTCTGTACACATATTATTATTCCTATTATGATGACGTTTGTACATACGTACAATATTCTGTCCGATGATTTTAAATCTAGAGACACGCTATATAATATTCGATCCAATGTTTATAGATAGACACGCTATACAATATTCGTTCCGATGCTTGTGTATATGACGACACACTATACAATATTCCGTCCAATATTTAAAAAATACAGAGACGCACACTATACAGTATTCGGTATTTATGTATTGTTTAATGGTCGAGAGCGAGACATTAAGTAGTATATTGTAACAACATGAGGGCCGTGAGGCCCGAATGTTTTTACAATATATTACGCAATGTCTTAAGCTCCAGACCATTAAATAACTTAAAATACAGACACTTGCACGTGCTTTGCAATGAAATACGTCACTCGAGTTCAATATTTTACCAAGTTACGCTTGGCACATTGCCCGTACGATTATTTGAAATAATGGTACTCCAACATCAAAGGATGACGTCACATCTGTATTTTAAGTATGTGGAGACACACACTATACAGTATTCGACCTAATGTTTATGAAATGAGAATTAACCGGTAGATAAAACCATGAACATTAAATATATACATCTTTCCCTTTCTTTCAATAATAAGTCGATATTTAACAAATCCAATCGAAGTAGAGAAATGAAATGGGATTTAACTTCCTACTGTCCTGCACCGATTGGACTTACAGGGTGCTATGATGGAAATTTTACGGTGCTATGGCCTACTCTCATTTCAAATTCCAACTGTTAAGAATTATTTTACATGCACGCCAATGTGTGCACAATGTGTACACGGGACCTCTATTGTTCGGTCCCATCCGAACGACTACACGTTGCCCTTGTCATGTCCTGCGCCCTACACCGCTAACAAAGGGGACCTCTATTGTTCGGTGCCCTACACCTCTAACAAAGGGGAACCATGCCGGACAATCCGGATGAACCTTCTCGGTCAACACCGGGATCGAGCGCGGGATCTCCGGGCTATTAAGCAAACGTCTTACTCACTGAGCCACCACAGCTCCCCGTTTAAGTAAAGAAAATCAATAACATCCAGTCCTAAATCTTTATAATCTCTCTCAATCTGATTAAAACACAGATCCTATTTCAGTTCTTTTTTTATAGTTCAAATTTTCGTTTTACTTGTCTTTACTACACTAGGATCTGGAAGGGTTGTTATGTAACCCGCGGTCTGGATGATATAAGGGATTAGCTAATGAAACGGTGTGTGACGGCGAGTTTTTGGTGTGAGGTGCACGGAACTGTGGGTAACACACTAAAAACATCAACGCTAATTGGTTAATCAACAGTCTGACGTCATTGGGTCAAAAGCCACTTGTATGAACCCTGACGCGACCTTCCGTTACAACTAGCCGGATCTTCATGTATTAGAGGCCATCGAAAGTATATAAAAAAAAGAAACGAAATATAGATCAGTATTTTAATCAGATGATGTCGGGGAATAAAACCCGATAGATAGAACGATACAAAATCAATGGTCGTATAATTTACAAGGCCAGAATAATTAATTTGAATATAAATACTTCAGCCCGAGGCATGGATGTACACACTCAGTTCCATTCCACGATTGTACGTGACCCGATATGCCCAATTATCACGTTTCCTCTTGAATAAGGAATTAATTTAATTACATAAAATCAATTTTCAAAGTAAGAATATTTCTAGGTAAGGTTTTTATCAATCTCATTAAATTCTTCCTGTGTTAATATAGAAAGCATGTTACTGAGCTTATGTCGCCCTTGTGCTGCGATGCGACTGTAAAAAAGCCTGTTGCGGTTAATTGCACACGTGCACTTCCTGCGACCAGTTACATCTCGTTCCAGGTTTTGCAAACCAGCCCGATAATTGGGTAAAATTGAACGATTTCATTTTGAACGCTTGCATTTACGAGTCAGTGTTGTTGTGTTGTATTTTTTTTACACTGTTGGCTGGGAACATAGTGTGTCATCGGTGAATTCCCAGTAATAAAAATAACCAACAATCTTATTATTAACATCGTTCCCACAGATTTGATTAAAACACAGATCCTATTTCGTGTGGATTTGTATAGTTCAAAATTTCATTTTACTTGTCTTTACTACACTAGGATATGGAAGAGTTGTTATATAACCTGCGTTCTGGATGATGTGAGGGATTAGCCAATGAAACGGTCTATTACGGCGAGTTTTTGTTTGCCGCAAGGTGCACGGAACTATTTGTGACCCACTAGAAACTCCAATGCTGATTGGTTAATCAAATGTCTGACGTCATAGTGTCAAAAGCCGCTCGTATGACCTCTGACGCGACCTTCATGTAGTAGAGGCTATCGAAAGTATATGAAAAAAAACGAAACAAAATATAGATCTGAATTTTAATCAGATTGCTAGGTTCCCACTATCACGATTCGTGCTTCGATTGAAATCGTGGTTTTAATCGAGAAGTAATCATGGTGATCCTATCGGGTCTTATCATATATTGAGGTCAGTCGTAGCAATCGTGTTTACCGTATCGAAACATATCCGAACCTATCTACACTAGCAGATCGCGGACTCAATAGGGAAATCCTATCATAACACATCGCACAACAGTGGGAACCTGGCATTAAATAGAAATACTTACAGAACGTGCCAATTTTCGATACCAGGGTTAAATATGCCACATTGATTGAGTTAAAAATCATTACAATCATTGTTTCTATGACGATGAGTTTTCAAGAATTGTTTTTAATCTCTATTTGTAGGTATTAATGGTTTCTCTGTGGCAAATGAAACAGCTTTAAGAACGTACTTATTTTCAACAAATGCCTACGATTTAAATGTTCGACCAAAAACAGTAGTTCAACTTGAAGTTCGGTTCAATCTACTAACTATTAGTCAAATGGTGAGCTATTCAGTATAATTTACTTTCCTATTTTTTTTTTATTATTTTCGTTTTTTGGTGGGGGTGGGGGAGGGGTAGAAATGATAACGCTATCTTGTCACCGTTTGGCGGAGATATAAAGGCCCCGTTGCACTTATTCGAAATCTGTAGGTATCAGGCAGAACTAGCCACAATGATGAATTCTCAAAATTCGCACCACATTCGGGAGGGAATTTCAATTAGACCACGAAAGACGTTCGAATACTTAGAATGCGCTTCGAACCCGCCAGGAATGATTCTTGCACATTTCGGCTGTATATTAGCTTTCTAATGCAGCTCGAATGCATATAGTTTAACACCGTAGTAATATCTAGGTCTGAGTTTTTAGAATGCACCTCGAATGTCGTGTGAGTGTGGTTCGATTTCTGCCCAAACACAACCCAAAGTATGATTGTAAGGTGCCTCGAATGCAATCAGAACGCAGCTGAAATACTTCGAATGCTCGAATGTAACACGAATAGATTCCGACAGCAAACGAGGTACAATCGTGGTGCAATCCTGCTCATTCGAGGCGCATTCGTGACATTCTGGCAAGATTTGTAGTGGCCTGCCGTTTCGATTCTCCCTCGAATTCGTTCAGAATATTTGGAATGCAATCAGAATGAACTCAGAATTTTTAGAATGCACTTCGTATATTTAGAATGCACTTCGAATATCCAGGAATATACAAACAAATAATTTTCATTCCGACGACATTCTGGTTCATTCCGTCTCTAGTGTGACTAAGGTCTAAAGTATTTTTTTTTATGAATTTATTGCCTTCAGCCTTTAAATTATAAATATTTCAGATATAAAGGATGAAATAAATTGGGCATCTATTTTTAATAAAACCAGAAATGTCGCTACACCGGAAGTTATATTGCAATTAATCATGTCGCTTTCAACGCAACCTTCGAAAGATAGAGAGCGCGCCATTATAATAAAGCGACGTAGCATACACATAAAATGTTTCGTATTCTAGGTTTTAGGTTTAGGGCTAGCGGATTGTAGGGTTAGCAAAGAAAGAACACGGGTGGCAAATACCCTCAGCAGTTCACGATGGCAGTGTATGCCGAAGAGGAATTGTCACTTGTACACAGTAGATATAAACTGTATATATAAATGTTAGAACAAACCATGTTTGCATGAACGCCAGGCTGTTACTAGGCAGTGATATGTATGAATTGCTACTGTTGCGCCATTTTAAGCCACGTGAATCATATCACTACACTACACTGTTGTTAACGGGGAATCTCTAAAAGAGAGAGAGAGAGGGGTGGGGTTTAACATCTACTCGACACAAACTAGGTCATTTCGGGACTAACATATGGTTCAATTTTATTTCAATAATTCGCTTGCGCGTAAGGGTCTTTAGCAGTGGGAGGAAATCGGAGGACCCGGAGAAAACCCACGAGGTTGAACAGGCGACCCTACTCTTTGTCACGTACAACCGAGGGAATATCTCTAAAACGAATATCAGTCCAAATATGGCTCAATTTCCTTCAGTATTTACAAAGATATGTAGAATTGAAATTTCGATCAATGCCGAGACATTCTGAGTACATATTAGTGTGGATTGAGCCCAGAAATGCCAATGGAGTATCGTTGCTTTACTGTATTTGTCTCAAATTGAGTCTCCGGTGTAACTTGGTAATCAGATCACCCTGGCGGTAATCGGTAAAATATCACTGATTCCATAAATAATAAAAATCCATTTAATGTTTGAAGACCAGGTATAGTAAATCACAGGGCGCGAAGAAATAAACAGATGTACGTTTCATCTGACCAGCTGGGATACACTTAAAGCTAAATGGGATGACTTATTTTTCATTTCAGGACATCCGAGAACAGGTTTTCAAAGTAAGCGGGTGGCTGACCGTGGTAAGAACATATCTTTGTTTTCCAGATAAAAGACACTGAAATAGGAATAATCATGATACAGTAGGTGCCCAAATGGTCTAAAGCATCGTGGTGTCATCACTGGTCTGCCATCTAGTTATATCATAAGTCCGAATCCCAAGGTATACCCAAGCCTTGGGAGGGGTAATATCAATGGTGATGCATTGGACAATCTGTGATATAAACACACCACTGTCACCTTTAGGTGTTGGATAAAATCTTTTAATCTGATCAAATTTCAAGCCGGGGGATTATTTCTCGCTGGTTTTATATTTTCGTTTTCGTTATTTCAGTACATTTGTGTCATGGGTTAAGCCATTAAAATTAAGATTTTGTCCGAAAAATGCAAATATCGTCCACACTTGCCCAATCCACTCGAATAATGAATTAAATTTGATTTAACCTGGTCATATTATTATAGGCCTGACAAGGACAGCTGTCTAGTCCTTTGGATGAGACGAAAAACCGAGGTCCCGTGTATACATTGGAATGCACGTAAAAGATCCCTTGGCAGTTGGAATTCGATATAAGAGTAGGCGATATTGCCGCTGCCCGGGCAAAATTTCCCTCATAGCACACTGTATGGCGTATGCCCGTCTTCATTAGCCCAATATAGGAGCAGAACAGTAGGACGTTAAACCCCATTTCATTTCATTTCATATTATTATACAGCAATGGTATGACAGTCGGTTATCCTGGGATCAGACAACTTATGGAGATGTTGGTTTTATTTTTGCTTTGGATACAGAAGTATGGCGTCCAGCACTTATAGTCAGCAATTCGTTAGTATAGCATATTCTTTTAAATTTTATCAAATAGTGAGCGAAACGACAGAAATACTCAAATGCATCATTGGCGGGTGAACCAAACTGCAGTTTTAAATATGGTGTAAAGAACTCTGTGACTTTCCATTCCAGAGTTACCCCCCCCCCCCCTTTTCCCGAAGGGATCAAATTTCTTGAAGGATCCTTCATCTTTATCAAATTTGGTACCCTTAAGGAAAGCTGCTGTATATGGTATTTCTTGTGAGCTTTTCACGACACAGCTAGTGTGTGTGCGTATTTTTTCCAAATTTGGTGCGAAGCATTAGGGTCATAAGATGACGAACCCGATCCATATTCAGCAGTCCGCGACCTTCCGTCCCAGAGTTAGCCCGGTCCCCTCTTGTCGAAAACGTGTTAACGGGATAGAAGGTACAGTTTTAACGGATTTTTTTAAATTTCAAATTAGGTGTGAAGCATTCGGGTCACGCGAGGACGAATCTTATCTATGCCTATCTGTGTCAGTACAAAAGCATTTCAAAATTAGCCCGATGTCCGGTCCGCCCCTGGGCTAGAGCGATTAGGTACAAACCAGAGCATAATGTAGAATGCAAGGAAAATCTGGATAAGGGGGTGTCACGCGTATTTTTACGGTAATTATACTCACAGAATGGAGAAAATTGAAACTAAATGTGCACGTTTCATTTCATTTCAGTGTGGACAATTTTGAAATAATTCAAGATGAGTATTCTCCTTTAAGGATTGCAAATACTGGTCGAGTTGTCTGGGATCCTCCAGGAATCTATGAAGTCAACTGTGAAGCCGACATCTCATACTACCCATTCGACACCCAGGAATGTTTCATTACTTTACAAAGCTGGGGATACAATCTCCGAGAATTGAACATTTCCGAATTAGGCAACGGGATAAACACGGGACTATATGTCCCTAATGGCGAGTGGGATCTTGTATCCAACTATTTTACCATTGTACAGAGAACCGACATCAAAAATGATGATTATAGTCAGATTATATTTCATTTTAATCTGAAACGAAGATCAGAATATTACTGGCTGAACATCCTATTACCAGTTATTGTCAACTCTATCCTCACCGCCTTAGTGTTTGCTTTACCTGCCGAGTCCGGGGAAAAGATGGGTTACTCACTGACCGTCCTTTTGTCCTTTATGGTGCTGTTGACTCTTGTAGCTGATAAAATACCATCCACCTCCATTAACACATCCATCATAGGTAAGTCTTCAGTAGCTAGCTATTTTATTAACTATCAGTAATTCACAATCCATTTTTTCTGGCAATTAGTTTGTGGACTGTTGGCAGGAACCAATGGTTTAACACCTGTACTTTAGATCATAAGGTTTTCCGTTGGTTCAAGTGACGTGGTTTCGATTCCATGCTAGTACGGTCTTCGGTTCAACCTCGTTTCCTCGAACTGCTAAAGATCCATACGCGCATGCGAAATATTAAAATAAAATTGAATCATGTTACTCCAGAAATGCCGAAATGACCAAGCTCTCTCTCTCTCCTCTGGGAACCGAGCATGGGCCGTTGGTGCGCCCGTAAAAGAACTCCTGACAGTTGAATATTGAAATATAAAACGTAGAAATCAACCGCAACGTAGAAATCAACCGCAACGTACACGCAACCCTAGTAAATATAAATAACTGATAGTAAATCGCTAAGGCCCTGGGTTAATTGTTAATCGGTTACTGAACCCCAGTACATTATATTGCTTACTCAGCTGAGTCTTCAGATTTCAATATAATTCTGCTGAGAGATCGGAGCACAATTTGTGGACTAAGAATGCTATCAATCTGTTCTTAATTGCAACTGTAGGAAGAAATATAAATTTTAAAACATTTAGCTGTTTCTTGACCGTTACAGTACTGTTTTGGTCTCCGGCGTCCGTGTCCAGGGAAACAGTTGATTCATTTACGTATGTTGATTTTTTGAGTGTCTAACAATGGGATGCTTCTAGGGGCACACATACATTAAGAAATGGAATAAGGGTCCAGTAAGCTCCTGTAATTGATTCGCTTTCTTCTTTTGCCTCGTCTTGATTAGCCCAGTTGGTACAGAAAAGTAGGATGTTTTATTTCATTTCTTCCCTTTTGCTCCCACGTCATTATCAACTCAATTGACTGTAAGTCACGTGGTGTATCACATTAACCGTGACAACTAAATTTTTATTCATTATTTTATCTTTTCAGTTGTGTATTTTACTTCAGTGCTGATATTGGGAGCCGTGTCTGTATTTCTGAGTACGGTAGTGCTTGACCTGTACTTCCGGGACGAGAACGAGCGGATTCCCGCTTGGCTGATGTTTCTATCCAAAAACATCGTCGGTCGGCTCGTCTGTTACAAAGGCTGCAAACGAAGGTCAAAGGTTACGGCTATTCAGCCAAACACCAACGGTGATGTGTCTGGTCTCAGACAGGGGCTTAGAAATAGAGATTCTGAGAGGAAAACTGACTCTAAGCGGAAAACGTCTGAGGAAAAGGATGATGTAGAAGAGGAGACATACACGTGGAAAGACATTTCTAAAATATTGGATATTTTCTTTTTGTGGTTTTACCTAATTATTATTACAGTGATAACAATTGGATTTTTAACTGTTGTCGCAACGTGAAAATCCACGATAGGTAATCTCTCGAGCTCAATTCATCCACCCAATCTGTTAAATTGTAATATTTTGTGAAATAATACAAAGACACTACAGTGAATCTATTGGGAGGATCACGCTGATAACACCTTTAGATCCATCTAGACATTTTGTTAAACATACATTATTCAAAAGCTAAATCTGCCTATTGCAGTTCTTTCTTTAGGCCCGAAATGTTATCTAAATTATTTTAATAATTAGACATTAATTAACTTATCCATGCCCATAATCAACTTTCGATGCCAGCGCTAGCTTGCGATATTTAGCGGATTGGAATACATTTTTTTTAAAAATAATTAAACGTAAAAATGGGTAATCAAGACTTTGGGATCTCGGTTCAAAGTGGAGAAATGTGATTGAAATTTTCAGCATATTCCATTTACGATATCTATTTTTAATATTATAGCGAGAACTGCCAACTCTTTATCTAATCTTCCAGAAGGCGCCTTTAAATTTTGATATTTTAAACATTAAAAATGTTAGTTTGATGTAATAGATATACTAACCACAACTTATACTGTTATTAGGGGTATTAACTTACTTTGTTGTTTCAAGTAAAGGGTTTTATTTCTAATGTCGTATTATATTTATTTACTCAGCAGATTGAACCATCTTACAACTTAATATAATCAAGTTAAAACTGGAAGTCCAGCCAATTGTTGTTTGGTAACATCATTGCGGACAGAACAAAATAGCCGTGGGAAAAGAATCTGCTTGCTTTATGCGGCAAAGCGAAAGAAATGAAATGAAATGGGGTTTAACGTCCTACGGTTCTGCTCCTAACCTGGGCTAATGAAGACGGGCATAAGTAGTAATATACAGTAGTTAAAGGGGTATTTCCGGTAGGGGTTATCTTCCCCTGTTTTGTTTACCTTAGCAACGTCTTATGGGCGTGGTTGTTGACCCTAGTTACGATAGAATCACGTGACAATGACGTAATATGAACACCTTGTCCGTTTAAATTTGAATTGTTGGGTGTGTGTGTTTGTAATGTTGTCCGCCTTTTTTTTTAAAGGGGTGGGTGTTAACGGTTAATTGTAGTGCCGAATGAAACCCGTCGCAACTAGGTAATATGAAGTTGTGAGTTTAAATTTGAATTGTGGATAGGGGGGGGGGGGGGTCACCGTAATGAGCGTGCGTAGTTCACCTCGAAACCGCGCACCGTCCGCCCAGCCCAGCCCGCCCGCGCGCCGCGAACGCTGTGGTCATCGTTTTCGTCAATGTATTATTGTTGGTGTGAAACAAAATGTTTTATTTGTACCGCGCATGGGCCCCGCCTCGCCACGCCCCAACGTCTTTTTCGTCGTCGCTTCAACCCAAAGACCAAAACATGTCCTAAAAGACATTCCCGTCAATTGTATAGTTAATTGTATTTGTTAATTGTATTTGTTAATTGTATTTGTTAATTGTATTTGCTAATTGTATTTGTTAATTGTATTTGTTAATTGTATTTGTTCATTTAGTCTTGTTATTTCCTCATTTAGTTGATTATTTATAATCTAATTATTCATAATCTAATTACTTTTTTTTTTCATGAATTCTTTTTCATGAATTTCTTTTCATGAATTATTCATAATTCAGTTATTTTTTTCTTTATTTTGTTTTATTAATTAATTTCTTTTCATTAATTTTTTTCTTCACATTTTCTTTTTTTTTCATTTATTCTTTTTTTTTCATTAATTCTTTTTTTTTCATTAATTCATTTATTTTTTTTTTAAATTTATTTTTATTTATTTAAATTTGGTGAAATTATTTACTGGTCTGGCGGTAGTTCTCAATTTGATCTTTTGAATTTCATGACCAGAATTTGGTTTTAAATAAGAGAAATGAAACGAGTTTTAACGTCCATACTGACTAATAGGGACTAGATTAATATTTTGGAACTTGGATATTCTCAGATCTCACCAATCAAATAATTGTAGTCATTTGTAGTATTAAGTAATATATTAATTAGTATATTAATTGTTTATATTAATTGAGGTTAATCAAACTCGTGTACTTGTTTTAAAAAATATAAATTGTACATCGTTAAGATATGAGAAATGTTTTAAAATGATAATTGTAGTCATTATCGCATTAATTAATATGTTAATTAGTATATTAATTGTTTTATATTAATTTAGGTTAGTCTAACCCTAACGTACTTAAATGTTTTTATTTTAGCATTTGAAATATATTTAAGAAAAATAAAAGTGGTTAGTTCTTTAAAAACCAGGTTAATAATATTAATATTACATTATGTATTTAACAGATGTTTTTCGGGGTAGTAGGTGAACTTTTGACCGATATTCTAAAAAATGCCATGAACCTTTTTAAATCAACCAATAACCTATATTCCTTCTATGCCAGTTTTTTGGGGTTTTTTTTTGCCGAGTTGTTAAAAAAACTACAAGCTGTATGCTGTTAACGCGTAAGAAAATGGCCTTAAAAAAACAAAAATGACTAGATAATTGTAGTAATTAACGTATTAATTAATGTGCGAATTAGTATATTAATTGTTTTATATTAATCGAGGTTAATTAAACTCACGTACTTGTTAAAAGATTACAAGCTGTATGTCGTTAACAGATGAGAAAATGTTTTAAAAGTAAAAGTAGTATTAAGTAATATGTTAATTAGTATATTAATTGTTTATATTAATTGCGGTTAATTAAACTCGTGTACTTGTTTAAATAATTACAAGCTGTACATCGTTAAGGTATGAGAAATGTTTTAAAATGATAATTGTAGTCATTATCGTATTAATTAATATGTTAATTAGTATATTAATTGTTTTATATTAATTTAGGTTAGTCTAACCCTAACTTACTTAAATGTTTTTATTTTAGCATTTGAAATTTATTTAAGAAAAATGAAAGTGGTTAGTTCTTTAAAAACCAGGTTAATAATATTAATATTACATTATGTATTTAACAGATGTTTTTCGGGGTAGTAGGTGAACTTTTGACCGATATTCTAAAAAATGCAATGGACCTTTTTAAATATGCCAATAACCTCTATATTCCTTCTAGACCAGTTATTTTTATTATTTTTTTCTTTTTGCCGAGTTGTTAAAAAATTACAATCTCTATGCTGTTGACGCGTAAGAAAATGGCTTTAAAAAAACAAAAATGACCAGATAATTGTAGTAATTAACGTATTAATTAATATGCGAATTAATTATAGTGTTTTATATTGATTAAGGTTAGTTAAAACCGACATACTTCAGTAAGATTTTTATTTTTTTATTTTAGCCTTTGAAATATATTTAACAAAAAATATAAGAGGTGACCTCTTTTAAAACAAACTGACGGCTAACACTAGATAATGTACTTAAGAGATGTTCTAACCGATGGCTTTTCATTTTAAACTAGATAAAACATAATATCGTGCAGTAAAACATTCCATCCACATATATGTGTGTTACATACAGATGTGATCATGTGATCTGTTTAAAAAAAGGAGCGGCTTATTTAAAAGCTGATGACGAAGCACCATTCCTTTGTTCAATGCCAATCTTTCAGTCTTTCGCGTGGTGGGTCCCCTTTGGACCGATATACTAAAACTTAATCTGGAACTATTTAAAATATGTCTATGAACTTTTGTAAACTTTTGCATTGACCTGAATTCATCTAAAATGCAAATGACTTGCGAAATACACAATTGTCATTGGTTTTCTAGGTCTTGCATGAAATGGAAATTCACCGAACATGCAAATAATTTGTGACATACACTCCCTCATTGGTTCTGTTAGATGAACTTTATGCCGTCTGAACCGTATATGTATATAACCACGAATCCATAAGACCTTCTTACCATTTTTCAAACTTGTGTATCAAAGGAATCCCTTCTATCCTTATAGATTTTTCATTCATTAGTTGTTTTTTTTTCAATAAGTGATGTACATATGATTTATTTTAATTTGTTAAAATCATTTACCGATTATTTATAGATATTTTTTTTTCAATTTGATGGAAAGTTTGCTTCTGTAGTCAGATGTTTGAAATTTGAACAATATTTCATCTGCTGATAGTTTTATATTTAATGAAAGGTTTTAATAAAATGTGGTGGTATGATGAATCTGTTCCAATATTTGAATTATGAAAATTGTATGACCAAGTTTCCATGACCGAAATATGTTCTTTATATAAATGGGTTTTATTTTCGTTACACAGTATTTTAGATTCGATTTATATATTATAGCGGTGGTCACAGTTATCTTGTATGGAGTTATGACATGTTTTAGCACCATGTAATTTAATATCTTTGAGAACTAAAGAAAATGTCTTCTGTAAAGGCAATTTGGTGACTATGTTTAATTAACTCCAGTATTTTAGTTGTGACATATGTTTTAATCATCAAAATAAAAGTCAAGCACCTTGGTGTCATTTGATATTCTTGAGAACCAAAGAATATGTCTTTGGCGTGGGAAAGTTTGGCATGTGTTATATAACCAGTGTCTTAGCTGTGTCAGATGGTTTAGCTATCAAATTACAAGGCAACACGACTTTGGTGTCATCTGATATTCTTGAGAATTGAAGAATGCGTCTGTTGCGTGGCAAAGTTTGACAGGCGTTTTTATTGCCAGTGCCTTAGCTGTGCCAGATGTTTAAAATGTTTTCAAAGTATTTGCTTTTTTTGACAAAAGATTTTGGACAAAGAAAATTTGATTTTGCTTAAGTAAATCCATCTTAATAAATGATGACTCCCAACACACACACGCATGCACAAACACACACTCGGTTCCAAACATGCACACATACACAGATTCGCCAACCACACTCATAGGCTGCCACACCCACACACAACCCTCCTAACACACACACAGTGCTCAACATGCACACATACACAGACACACCCACTACACTCATGGACTGCCACACTTACACACAACCCTCCCACCACATACGCTCTAATTGACTGGGACACCGACACACAATCACCCACAAATCATCTTAACTGTCAAATATAGAGAATGTAATTCAATGTTAAAAAAACGTACTTACCTATACGTGGCACGAATTATATACCCGTCATAAAATGTACACATTTCCCAGCGCTTGGAAATATATGACACCATACAATAACAGATGTGCTTTAACTTTTTTCCTTTAACTTAAAGCCTGATTACCTCCCTTTACACCAGAACTCTTAGAAAGAGCCCCAACATATGCTGCTTCAAGGAGCGCAACAGTTTTTTGTATAATACATACACCATCCTACCGGTACCCATTTACAGCTGGGTAGACTAGAAATACAGGGATAAAGTGTCTTATTCAAGGACACAAGAACTCGGCGCACAATTCGGGCTCGAACCTGCAACCATTCGGTCACAAATCCTACTCTCCAACCATTGCGCCAAGTTTTATGTTACTCGGGGTTAGTACAACCCCAACTTACCAACTTACTTGAATAAGGATGTTTCTATTCTAGTATTTGAAATATATATATATTTAAGAAAAACAAAAGTGGTTAGCTCTTTGAAAACAAGGCTGACATTGCATTATGTACTTAACAAAATGTTTTAACTGATGTTTTTATCGTGTCGTGGGTGATCATTTGAATGATATACTTAAAATATATGTGACCTATTTG